ACAGATGTGGGTGAAAGATACTGTGTGGATGAGGTGGCACGGAGGTGCAAGCTTTGTTTCCTGTGACATAGCTGGTGAGGCCACAGAGAAGACGGCAGAGGAAATGGTATGGGGGTTTGAGGAACAAGTGGAAAAAAAGCTGGAGCCAAGCTCCTTAAGGCCCAGCTGCTCCTTAGATAGCCAAAGGAGTTCAATTCACAGAAGCCTGGGGCCATCAGTCTACCTAGACACCTATCTGTCCAGTCTGCTGAGTTCCTGCACCAGAGGAGAAAGCTGCGCTCTTGGGCAGTCCATGGTTGGTATTTTCCTGGTCAAATGGTTTGGAATGGGCAGGGGGGCAAAGGCGTTAAAGGTTTTGATGAGACGGCCCCAGTGAGAGCATGGCATTCCTACCATGTTCCCACCTGCTTGCACACTCTGGTAACTGTAGAATCGAACCCTCCAGGCTGACATTTCTGCACGAGAGCTTCATGCTAATTTTAAAACTGAAGGATCCATTGACTTCTCTGGCCTGGACCATTTATATAAAATTATATAAAATGTCAAGTTATCAGACCCCAGGAGTTCTTATTGTTCGTGTTTTTAATTTAAACAATTATGTGTGTGGTTATGTGGATGTGGAAGAACAAACATATCTGGGGTGAGTGCATTGCACACATGTGGTCAGAGAGAAGAAACCCGTGTTAGCCGTGGGCCTCATCAAATAGGCTAGTCTCGCTGGCCTAAGCTTCCAGGAATTTGAACTTAGATCTTCAGCATGCTAGGCAGGCATTTTACTGAGTCATCTCCCCAGTCCTGTTGTTTATACTGTTGTTTTTAAAGTGGAGATTTATTTATTCAGGAGATATTTATTGAACACACACATTCTATGTGCCCAGCAGTGATTGTATGAGTTTTCCTTGTATGTATATCTGTGCAACATGTGTGTGCCTGGTGCGTGAAGGGCCAGAAAAGGGCGTCAGATCCCCTGGAACCGGAGCTACAGTTGTGAGCTGCCATGTGGGTGCTGGGAATTGAACCTGGGTCTTCTGTGAGAGGAAGTGCTCTTACCCATCGAGCCATCTCTCCAGCCCCAGCTGGTTACACTTGTAAGACATGCAGGTGCATTGCCATTAAACACTTACTATCGTCTCTCTCTTTCTTCTTTGGTTTTTGTTTGTTTCTCGAGGCAGGGTTTCTCTTTCTCTGTGCAACAGCTCTGGCTGTTCTGGAATTCATTCTGTAGACCAGGCTGGCCTTGAACTCAGAGATTCATCTGCCTTTGCCACCTGAGAGATGGGATTAAAGGCTTGCAACACCACTGAACGTCTCTTTTTTTCTTAACAATAGCTCTCATGTATCTCAGGCTAGTCTCAAACTCACCAGGCAGCTTCTCATCTTCCTGTCTCCATCTCCCCAGTGCTGGAATTGCAGGGGTACATCCAGACCTGGTTCATGTGGTGTCGGGGAACAATCTTGAGCTTCCTGTGTGCTAGACAAGCACTCTACTAAACAGCCCCATCTTCAGCTAACACCAAATCCCGCAGCTCCATATCTGGGATCCTGAGCTCTTGGTGGAATCATCTGGGCTCATATTATGGCCCTCAGCAGCCCTGCCTCTCCAGCTCTGCTGCCTGAGATACAGATAACCTCTCTCTTAGCCTAGTGCTACTTTATACCTGCATCTGTCCTTAGTGGGCATGCCACAGCCCTGGCACCTCAGAAATCACTGTAATTTGGGGTACACCCTTATAGATTCATATAACGGCGATCAGGGCCTCCTTTCAAAAAAAAAAAAAAAATCCGGCCCAACAGCATGGTGCCCAGCTCTCTGGAACCCTGGAACAAGCTTCCATTACCCCGTCACTCTTTCTTCTCTTCTGTTTGTGAGACCAGTGCCATGTGGATGATCCTGCCAAGTTCCCGTCAGCCTGAGATACAGTCTGACCCACTTTGGCCACAGCCTCTGTTTACCTTGGTGGCTGAATATGAGACATTTTCCGAGGCAAGTGTTCCTAAGCAGGGAATCCCTTCCACTGAGTTCTCAATTTGGCTTTCTCCTTTGAATGCATTTTTTTTTATAAGCTGTATCTTTTAAATTTAAATTCAGATTTTCTAGGAAAGTGGTTCATAACCTTCCTAGGGCTGTGACCCTTTAATACAATTCCTAACACTGTGGTGACCTTCAACTATAAAATTATTCTCATTGCTACTTCATTACTGTAATTTTGCTACCATTATGAATCATAATGTCAGTATCTGTGTTTTCCAGTGGTCTTAGGCAACTCCTGAGAAACAGTCATTTGAATCCCTAAAGGGGTTACAGCCCACAGGTTGAAACACCAGGACCTCTACCTAGCAGCAGAGGGAAGGAACTGATCTCCTCAGACATGGCAGCACTGATGTTCGCCTGTGTGTTCTAGGCATTTCACCACAAAAAGAGAAACAGACTCTGGCTGCAGACTGTTCAATGTGTGAATTTATTTATGTTGTTACAATACACAGACAAATCATAATGTATTTTCTTTGTAATGTTTCCTCTCTCAAGAGTCACTTCAGTTTAAACCAGAGGATTTTTTTTGAGAATGCACACACACACACACACACACACACACACACACAGCAAGAATAAACATGTAACTCCATCATTAGCACTGTGAATAAGGGTAGAAACAGGCTTCATTTTCAAATCCTGGGGCCATTCTCTCTGCCTTAGAAATTAAACAGAAAGTTCATCCCTGTCCTAAGCCAGGGCTGGGCAGAGGCTGGAGAAGCCTGGTGGGGACAAAGTGTAAGTGGTTGGCGTTGCTAGAGACCAGGGCGCAGGGTGCCAGAAATAGCCACCCACTCCCTCTCCTCCTGTGCTCCCAGGTCAAGGTGCAATGGTCTCATCTGGGGACACAGTGGGTGGTGGAATGCTCAGAAGGCAGATGTCTTTTGACTTTTTTCTGATTTGATTTCTTTCCACAGAGTCTGATATTAGTGCAGAATAGCTGAGGTCTCAGAGTTGGGAGGCCTGCGAGCCCTCTTCTCCAAGGCCTTTGGTCCATCTGGCCTTTTCCCACAGGTAACTGTTACTGGCCGAGCTGCATGGCAAAGGCTGTTGTCCCTCTCCCTGGGAGCTGTGTGGTCTTACAGCCCCAGTCAAGAACACAGAACATTTGTTGCCTTCTCAGAAAAGTCAGCGAGTGACCGGGCAGACTAAAGACAAGAAGATGACAGGTTCCACAGCAACCCGGACAGTTGAAATAGCAGAGACTGACTCCTCTTTACTCCCAGCAAAGGGGCAATGATGTCACATCTGTCAACCTAACCCTCCCTTCCCTTGGCCGGTCCTGCGCAGTGTTCTCCCAGAAAGATTGTGCTCAGTTACCCTTGAGGGCTGAAAGGGAAAGGCAATCCACTTGGTTGAGGCCACCTGGGTGTTAAATGGCTCTCCCCCTAGAAGGCTTAGGGAGGGGAGGTCTCCAAAGGGCTAAATCAGGAAATCAACAGACCCTTTGTTTTCTCACTTCTGATGAAATAATAAAGCTCCATAGCTTTAAAATAGCCCTTAATATTCCCAACACCACACCTAACACCTATACCTGACAGAAACTGTTGAGTGACCAACATGTATGTGCACACACACACACACACACACACACACCTTACAAGTGTACTGCACTGGGGGATGACCCTGCTCTTCTGCCTGCAGGCCCACCTCAGCACCAGATGAAGCTTGGCACTGGCTTCCACCTATGGGTAGGGTGACTCCTGCTGGGCTCTGATGCTCCCCATGTAGGCTGGGAGGCGAGTTTGGCAGTAACTGAGTGGAGACTGAAGGTCCAAGTCCCCGAGTCCCAGCAGGGACCCAGCTGGCAGTGAGAGGCAGTTAGAGAGTGGCAAGAAGGGCATAAGTGACCAGAGAGTTCGGACTGGAGAGGGAACCTTTCCAACTCTCCACTGTAAGTGGCCTTTGTTAGACTCAAGAGCAAAATGAGAAGTGTTTAAGGGACAGAGCGAATGCGATGTCACAGGGGTTGTATGCTAGGCAGTGCGGCACTCTCTGGGCAGGAGGCTGGACTGGCGGGGGCCTCTCACTCTTGTGTAATGTCTTGGCTGAGATCCACAGACACAGACAGGATGTTGCTGCCACCTTGCTGTCTAGAGATACCCTTCAGGCCAATGACTCCAATGTGTCTGGCATCCCAGCCTGCACTGCCTACCAGCCCAGACTGCATCTTCCCCACAGCCAGCAGACTGCGCCTGCTGGTGTCTAGGCAGCGTCAGGGAACCTGAGCCCCATTTGTTTTAACATGGGCTCCATCCGTCTGCTCACTCTGCGGGAACCAAGCCCTGGAAGTGGCCACTCCAAGGCTGAGTGGTCCTCAATGGAACATGTCCAGGAAGGTGCCTTGGCTCTGGATCTCCACCTAGAGGCAAAGGGAAAGACAGCCAGGGACTCCCAATGGGAAGCTCCCATATTTCTGAGACTTACACATCTGTAGGAGAAGAACCATGGGGTCTGGCTGGACCATGATAGGGGCTGCCCAGGAACCAGGCAGCAGAGGAAGGGTACACAGCCAACAGTGGAAAGAGAGGAGGCACCTTTTGTGTAAAATAAGAATGCCAAAGTTATGGTCACTTCTTAGAAGGGGGAGAGGGCAAAGGGGAAGAAAAATCACAGATTCCAAAAAATACCCCACAGGTCTGAGTAGAGGATGCCTGCTGGACCCAGCTCCTCCTAACTCCTAAGACAATAACCAAGGTGACTGAAGATGCAGGCTGCGCTAGTGCCAGGATACCTGCATTCCTCTCTATCAGTCAGGCCTCAGTTTAGTCATGCCATCACTGGGGCAACCTGGAGACAAATGGGCTCCAGGACCGAGGGCCAAGACTCCCTTGCCCAGGCTCGTCTGCTCCCAAACACCTTCTGGAAAGGGCCAGCCCTGGTCAGACCGTGAGGACAGGGGCGCGGGAAAGGAGCACCGTCTGAGGAGAGAGCCTGGCAAGGGCGGGAGGAAGTCCCACCTGGCCAGTCACTTAAAGGTGTCATCAGTGTTTTTGAACATGAGAATGGCGTTATAGATCTTCAAGGCTGGGCCCAGCTTGACACTCATGATCTTCACAATGTCCGCCTGTGTCAGCAAAAGGAAGGCCTCGCCGTCAATCATCTGAGGGGGCGGGAGAGGGAGGAGGAAGTCGGAGGAGAAGGAAAGGGTGGTGAGGGGGACAGGTGAGAGGAAGGGAGGGGCAGATATGTGAGGTGGGGATGGGAAGGGGAGAAGGGGCATGTGGCAGGTGGGAAAGGAAGAGGGGGTAAAGAGGAAGGACAAGGAAGGGAAAAAGAAGAAAGAAAGACGGCAATGGGGATGGAGAAGGAAATCAGGACAGCTTGGCTCCCACTGTACACATAGAGCTTCTCTTTCTCTTTCTGCTAACAGGTCTGTGTCAGCGTCTATACTGGAAAACCCTCCCTGGAGCCCTTACAAACAGTAGCTTCGAGAATTCAGCTGCTGCTATACAGTTGCGGGACATCGTCCTTAATGCAAACGTGAAGCCCCTTGTTTGAAAGTTATTAAGACTTTCAAAATAGTGACAGCTAAGGACAGAGCCAAATGCCAGGTTTGTCTAAGCCCAGGGCGCAGGGAGGCTGCCCAGGAAGCCAGGCAGGCTCGTGGTCTAAGTAGTTTCGTTCATTAATCGTCCTTCAAAAATGCTACCTGGGCTCCTTCTGTAACCGGGGTAACAGCCTCCATATCTACACATGTGATCTCACATTTATGAAATGCCCGCAGCCAAAACAAAACAAAGACAAGAGAAAGCCCATCGCAGTGCCATGGGAGCCCACTGGACAGTCTCAGTGCCGCTGAGGGCGAGCTGGACAGACGCTGCATTCTGAGTGCTGCGGCATGGGGTGCACTGTTACCTCCGACCTTTTCCCGCCCCCAAATCAGAGAGACGGAGAACACTTGGATCTAACGAAGCCTTTGGATCTGATCTTTAGATTAAATTTTTTCCTATTACAATCATTTATTTTGTGTATATATGGGTGTGGGTGTGAATGTGGATGTGCGCATGTCCCGACATGCATGTGGGGGTCAGAGGACAATTTGTGGGAGTCAGCTCTCTCCTTCCATCATGTGAATCCTGGGGATCAAACTCAGGTCTTTAGGCTTGGTGTGAAGTGCCTCCATCCACTTAGCTAATCTGCTGGTCCTCACTTCTAGACTTTTAAAAATGTCATGAGAAAAAATAAAATGAGAAAAAGAAGAAAAAGGCTACCTTCCTAGAATGGAGGTTATTTAAGAGCTATATAAAACCTGAAACAATTTATGTGGGTTTTACTTAGCTCAAGAACTACTGTTTAAAATGTTCTGAGGTAACAGGAAATGCGGATATGGGCAGGGTGTGGATGGCCTGAGGAGCAACCACTGATTGCTGGCGCAATAACAACACTGTATAAAGTCACGAGTCACAGTCCTTGGGTGAATCACGATGGTGCCTGTAATCTAACAACCTCATGCCAGGGCAGACAAAGCAAGTGTGCGGAAGGCTGATGAGTGCACATTCTAGTCAGGGAGGAGAAAAGTCAGGTGTGAGGAGGGAGGGAGGGAGAGGAAGAGAACAGAGGAAGGAGGTTGTATGGGACTCAGGAGGGGAAACCATGTAAATGTCCATGGACAGGAGGCCTGCAGCCTGTTCATTAGGTGGAGAGAAACTGAGAGTGTACACAGCACTACACAACAGGTCCCCCAACACTACAGGGAATGAAGAGAGAGACCCACAGCGCCCCTGCTGTCTGATCCCACTGCATAATTTAAGAGTAGGCAAGCCCAGCCTATAGTGCTATAATCCACAGTGCTAAAAAAGGTTCGATGATCCACAGTGCTTATGTTTTGGGGTGGGGCCTGACCAGTGGGGGCTGAGGCAGAACTTTCTGGTGTGATGGGAATGGTCTGTCTTGATGGAGGTGGATTCAAGTACACATTCATAAAACTTGTGGTGTTGGGTGTTCGCCTCAGTCAGTTCGTCTGGGGATGGTGGAGTGGAGGGCCTAGATACTGAACAGTGGCAAAGAACAGCCTTAGCTTGCAAGAAGCTCTGGGCTCAATCCTCAGCACCAAAACCAAAGCCAAACCAAACCAAACCAAACCCCAAACAAATGAAAGTGAAACCAACAAGCCACCCATGGAGCAGGCATTTGCTCCATGTTGGTCAGAAGGTTCTAGAAACAGGAGTCCAGCTAGACACCCAGACAAGCACAAATAAGATCAGCAACACAGGGGGCAAGACCAACATCCAGACAGGAAGAGGGAGACCATGCTGGGGCTACAGACATCCATCTTTCTTACAGGGCACAGATTTAGGCAGCTGAGCCCACACTGTCCTTGGGCTAGGGACTGCTTCTGTTGATTTGGAAGGAAGACTCAAACACACTTGAGGGCTCCTTCTACTCTCAAATTCTACAGATTAAGAGAGTCATGAAGAAAGTTCTTTATTTAGGGGCAACTGTGCACACAAAATCAGACTACCAACCATTTCTAGAGGTCTCACCTGTACTGGGCTTTTGATATAGTGGTGGGATTTCTATATGACTCTATAAAGTTGCCTGATAGATGTACACACAGGCCAGTGATGTGATCATGTAGCTACACTGCAGTGAGGACTCGCTCCTGGTTTCTAAAGTTCACAGTGACCTGCCAGGCAGCCCTCAGTGCACTTGCTCGACCTCCATCTTAAAAACGGGAGGATGTGGGCTCAGAGACAAGCGGTTCAAACTGGGAGAGCTAGGATTCTGGCCCAGGCTGTCTTCAACCCGACATTCGTTTTCCCATAACCCACTGCTTCATATCTTCCCTAAGCTCTTGGGTGTTAATTAAAGTGAACGCCTTTCTTTTTTGTTTAGACAGAAAAAGGGGAAATGATGGAGATGGGTCTTGTATTTATCTGTTGCTTTCATTGGTTAATTAATAAAGAAAACTGCTTGGCCCATTAGTTTTAACCTCTTACTGGCTAGCTCTTACGTGTTGATCTAACCCATTTCTAATATTTTGTGTAGCACCACGAGCTGGCTTACCAGGAAAGATCTTAACCTGCGTCTGTCTGGAGTGGGAGAATCATGGCGACTGCTTGACTCGGCTTCTTTCCCCCAGCATTCTGTTCTGTCTACTCTGCCTACCTAATTTTCTGTCCTATTAAAGGGCCAAGGCAGTCTCTTTATTTAACCAATGAAATCAACACAAAACAGAAGACTCCCACATCAGTTAACTTTCGTGTGTTGGGATCTCTGCAACAAATATCTACACCTACGCCACCCAATATCTGCTTTGGGTTCAGTGGTATGCAGGGATGCAGCTCAGTGGTAGAGTATCTGCTCGGCCTGGCTGAAGCTGTGTTTGCCCCCCAGCACCCCAAACTGTAAAACACTTCAATTCAAACAGCCCCGGGGAAGACAGCATGAGAGCAAATGGATTCCTTCTTCAGGACACATCTTCCTTCCCAAAGGGGATCTGAACACAGTGTCTCCAAGCAGGGCCACAGTCCCTGCACGATTTCTCAGACACGGGCGACCATGACTGGTCTTGCCTTGCAGGGCATTAGAGGTCCCTCTCGGGCTCGGGTAATGCTGGTGAGGGTAATGGATTTCCGCCATCTCAATGGCAGCAACGTTGTCTCTGTCCCTCTGCACTGGTACCTTACCTCATCTTTGAAGAGGCGTGCTTGGTCCTCAGAGCCCGTCAAGGTCAGAACGAAGCCGAAGACCTTGGAAATCAAAGGAGATGCCTTAACCAGGGGAGGGTAAGTCTACATGGTCTTGGGGCCCCTTGGATTATATCAGCAGCTTCTTTCTTATTAGCCTTAGGAAGTCCTCATGTCTTTGTATGGTGGTACATGAGGGAAGGTCTCTTGTTCCTTAAAGTATGTCTGTCCTGCTAGAGTCCCAGCTTGACTGACAGGACCCACCCTCTCTATCCACCATAAGAGGTCTGATTTGGTCAGCCTTGCTGTGCCGCTAAAGGGGCTGCGCATAGGAAGGGATGAGCCCAAGGCGGAGGCTCCATCTGAGCCAGCCCTAGCCTGAGCCCCCTCCTGGGGTGTGGTCTAGCGGGCAGGAAGAAGAGGGGGAGAGGCTAAGGAAAGACTCCATACCTCTTCAATGGTCCACTTGGAGACCGTGGAGGCTGAGATACCTGCTACTCCTGGCAAGAGCTTGCAGTGCTGCTCCCAGCAGAGAGAGAATGAGCGATCGGGGTGGGTGGCCAAGGTGGACATGAAGAGGGACTGGTGCACCACACTGGGAGGAAGGGCTAGAAGGGAGAAGCAGGGAGAAGTGTGAGCACTAGGGAGAGCTCACACTTAGGACACAGGGGACACTGGCTGGCACAACGGACAGGGTGAGGACCCCTCCTGAGAGCCTGCAGAACCACGTGGGTGAGCTGGTATGCTGCTGGCCAAATGGGTTGCTTGCTTGCAGGCTTCGGCACCCACTGTGTGGAGTAACCCCAGCACTCTGGGCCCTGTGAGGGTTCTCTCTTGGAGCTGGTGGCATCAAACAACCCTTACATTCAAACGAGTTCATCCCCGACAGCAGTACTGAGTTCTGTGTCCTTTCTGAAGCCCTTTTGGACTCTGAGTAGGGTCATTCTGGCCCCAGAGAATGAGTTCTTATCAGCTGTCCAGCCACAGGCTGCCATCGCTTGCTTCCTCTTCCGCTCAGGAATCTGATGCCACTCTTTGACTTCCTCCTTAGCAGGCCGGGCACTCACCCCTTTGACTTTACTCAATTCAACTGCTGACAACCTGACCCTGTCCTCTGCACTCTCCTGGAGGCCTACTCTGCCTCGGTCCACAGTTCTGGCTAATTGCTCTAACGTGGTGTGCTTGCTGATAATTCTGGATGCAGAATGCAGCACTTCCGGCGCCGTCTTCTCTATGGCAGCCTCTGCCCGGTACAGACTACCCTGCCCCACCTCATTCCCTAAGCCTTAGCCTCGTGGCTTCTTCAGCTCCTTGTAGTCCCACCCTGGGCCTCTGGGATCCTACCACAGACCCACTGCCACTCTCCTGCAGCCTCTGCATCTCAGTCCATGCCTGTGCATTGCTCATTGCCACCGAAGCATCACTGATGCTTGTTCCCTGCGACTGCAACAGTTCCAGCTGTGACCCAGCAGCTGTGCCTCCCCTGCCTGATCATGTTTTAGGACCGTAGGTAAGGATGGTACCCTGGGTCCTATCTTACTCCCCAGAGCAGAGCCTGACTCTAGTGAGCAGCCACAGCATTGTATTTAACCATCTAGCCACACAGCTAGAAGGTTCTTCCAAAGAGGTGACCCTTGTGGGACCTGGGCAATGAGCACAGCCAAGGGCCAGGTGGTGTTCCCTGATGGGACGGTCACGTGCGCATCTGGACCCTGCATCAAGGTCTACCATGGATGGTGTGAGGGGTCTCTTCTAGAAGGGGAGCTGCAGCCAGGGTCCCTTCCTGGTTAAAGGCCTGCCGGTACAACAGACAGCCCTCTGTGGAGATGAGAGACCTGGGCTCTGTCCCTGAGATGCCTTAGGGGCCAGGGTGAGGCCTGAGTCCCTCCCTTTTCCTTTGGCCATAGATGTAACCACTGGAAAGACTGACTTAGGGGCTGGAGAGAGGGCTCAGCAGGTAAAGGTACGTAAGGTATAGGCTGTGCAAGCCTGAGAACTTGAACTAGATTCCCCAAGCCCATATAAAGGTAGAAAGAGAGAACAGACGTGACAAAGTTGCCCTCTGACCTCCACGTACACACCTTGGCATCACTCACTCCCCCAACCCCCCAACCCCTCCACATTCAGTCAGGAGGTGCCCTCTGGTGGTTAGAATGTAGTCCTGCACATGGGAGCTGACCAAAGTACCATGGCAGGCAGGAGAGAGGCCTACTATAGCCTGACCCTGGCTGGGATAGCTTTCTAGGGAGGACCCAGACGTCAGCCAAGATGCTTGGCATTCAGACCTGAGGCTACAAAAACTATCTTCTGTTTCCATCAGGAGGAAACAGTAAAGAGAGAAGCCGAGGTGGGGATGTATTCCAGGCACGAGCTTCCTACTGGTGTGCAGTTAGCTGTGCTGAACACACCGTGCCGTGAGCTCTTACAATTCTCAGTATCTGACTGAGGATGCCAGGCTCAGGGAATCTGGTGTGAGACACCAGGGATGCTCACACAAGACAGAGCAGCAAGGGTGCAAGCAGCCAGTGGTCTGTGCACCGGGAGAAAGGTCTGAGAAGATAGCAATCCAGACACCTGCAGCTCCAGAACTGTGAGGTGAATACATGCCTGCTCTTCAGGCCACCCTGGCTGTGGTATTTTGTTACATAAATCCACACAAATGAACCCAAGGGGAATGAGCACTGAGATGACACTAGGGTACAGGGCTTTAGCCTAATGCCCTGTGGCAGACATCAGGTCCAAGTTTGAATTCCAGCTCAGCCCCTCAGAAGGTGAATGACCCTGAGCAAATGATTTCGGCTCTGAGCCTCCCATTCCTCCATAGTTAGACACAGTGGGAGGCTGGAGAGCGGGAGAAGGCAGCTACAAAGTGCTCATCACAGTTCTGGCTCAGTGAACGGGAATAGTAGCCACCATCGTCAGCTCAGCCAGTGACTCCCTATGCTCTCAAGTGAGGAAAGTGGCTTGCTCAAGGTCATACGACTGACAGCCATGGTCTCCCTGAGGAAGCTTAGAGCCACAGACAAATGGAGCAGGGCCATTGCTCCACCTTGTGGAAACCCAGCCCCCCACCCCCTTTTCCACAGACTCCTAGAAAGTCCGTAGAACCAGAAGCCTTGGCCACTCAGGCTTCATCCTGTGCTCTTGCCCCCTGTGGTATCATCCCGCTGCCCTGGTGTCTGGTTCCATCAATCACAGGCCCCCTGCTCAGCATCCTCTGTCAACTGGACTCACTCACCTTGAAAATCTTCTTGTGGACTCTTGCGATACTTTGGAGGACGTCCAATCCTGGAGAGAGAGGGACCGGGGCCCGCAGCAGAGGATCAGTGGCTGGCCCAAGAAGACACGAGGCCCCACACCCGTGAAGCCCAGGACCTGACTCCCTGGCCTCCGCACCGGCCATGATGGCGGGGCTTCTTCCTTGGGGACAAATTAGACAGGTTCTTCTTCCTGGCTGCCGTCTCTGAGTCGGACAGCTCCGCTTTCAGCCGACTCTGGTTCCTCTCGGCCAGCGGGCAGCCAGAGAGGCAGTGGTGAGCCGTGAACTTGCCTGTAACGTGGCCAGAGCCATCACAGCCAGGGGTAGGGCACTTCCTGGGGAGATGAAGGCTTTAGTTGGGTGGACCCACTTGTCTCTACCAAGCCCCCCCTAACCTTGGCCCTGGGTCCTGGGGAATGCTGATGGGTCTCGCTCCACAGCTGTAAAAGACTCTTCCCTGAACGATACCTGCTTCACTCTGGGCCTCGGCTGTTGCTTTACTTACCGCTGGTGAAAGCTGTATTTGGAGGGCTTTGTGTGGGGCGGGCTCCTGTGGCTAAGCGTGGGGCAGCTCCCGGGTGAGGCAGAGCTGGATTCTCTGGGCCCTACAGGGGCAAAAGAGAAGTCAGCATGGAGTCCTGGAGACAGGAGAAAGGGACAAAGAAGGGATAGTTAGTGTGCATGTAGTGGGGAAGGAGGGGTCAGTACCCAGAACTAGTTCCTTGGAGACCAGGCCCTGAGCCAAGCTGTGCCCATTCCTGCCATCAGGTATCAGCTACCATTAGGGAAGGAAGGTTTGACTTTTTCATACTTTGCTGGGACCTGCGGGCATGCCTTGGTTTAGTGAGGCAGAAAGAGCTGGGGGTAGGGGGCTGGGCATCCCAGGCTCACTGCGGGCACTGGAGCCCCGCCTGGGAGGGCTGTCAGAGGTTGGTGGAAAGGGAAAGTTAGCAGCGTGTCCTGAGAGTACACACGGAGAGGAGGCTCCAGGGGATGTCCTGTCTTGGAGCACCAGCCTGCAGGGTGGATGTCCGGGTGGTCGGCGTCGATCCAGAAGTCATAGTTGTGACTCCAGCCATCAAAGTGGAGCTGGGAAAGAAAGGCCCTTGGGGGTCAAGTGTTGTTCGTGGAGCCCGGCTCAGTCAGGAGGTGCTCTGGGCTCCGACGTGCTCCCTATGCCTAGGCCAAGATCTTGGAGATGAATACAGGGGGCATCTATACAGTAACTGTTCTCAGCCACGTGTTTTCATCTCCATTAAGTCCCTGTGTAGGACAAGGGTTATTAGACCCATTTTACAGATGATAAGATTAAGGCTTGTAGAGGAAAAGGGACCCTTCCAGGCCTACAACAGTGAATCACAGATAAGGAAAGAAAGGTCTGGGGTCTTCAGCTTCCTAGTTCATGCCATGCCCTGACCTCTAAGCATTCTAGAGAATTCCTGTCCCACTGACCTGTCCACTCCCCCAGGCCTAGGGTCCCAGAGCCACCTTTATCCGATGGTCCTCCACATCTTCCACGCTGGCTACCCGAATCAGTGCTGGGTTCCGGCGGTCCACAGCCTCCAGCTTCATGTTGACCAGGAAGCTGTGAGGGGGTCTCTGTGGGGAGAGAGGTGCTTTGAGGCTAAGGCCCAGCTCTGAGGAGCTGAAGCTCCAGGAAGAGAGCCACAGGGAGGACTGTCTTGGCCGAGGCCGTCCACTGGCTGACTGACAGGACCTCGTCTTCCTAAACTCAGCTCTAGGGAAGTCGCGAGTCCACTTACCACTTTGAAGGCCCAAGTGGGCACAGCTGAGGTCCCAGTTTCTTCTAGATAATTCTCCCAGCAGAAGCTATCAGGGTCTGGATAGTCTGGAAAGGAGGTGAGAGCAATAGCTGAGCCAGCCAGATGGCTCAGGGAACTCTGTCCCCAGTTGGGATCAAGAACATGGAAGGAAGCCAGGGGTGGTGGCACACACCTTTAATTACAGCACACGGGAGGCAGAGGCAGCCGTATCTCTAGGAATCTGAGGCCAACATGGTCAAAAAAGCCAGTTCCAAGATAGCTAGGGCTACACTGGGAAACCCTGTCTCAAAAAAACAACAGCAACCAAACAAAACAAAAAAACAGCAACAAAACAAACAAAAGAACATGGAAGGGGCAGAAACACTTAGAGAAGAAACTTCCGCCATGTGACTGCGATCACAATTAGATGCTTGTCCTGGGGCAGATGGGTCCTGGTGAGAACTAAACCCACGGGACCACAAGAGCTCAGGGTTGTTGGAATCCTAGCTCTCATCACTTATGGCCCCATTGCTCTTAGTCCTATCCAAACCTCTGCTACACTTGGGCCAGCAGTGGTCCCAAGTAAAGGACCTACGTCCTTTGTTTAAACCCCTGCATGCTTGAGGGAGCCATCTAACTTTCCTTTCCTAAACCCCAAATGTCAAGGCTCCAGGCCCAATCTGCTCCCTACCCTGTCCTAAAGGGCTTGCTAAGGAGGTGCAGGGACCAAGTCTCACATGCTAAGAGACAGGGAGGAAGCGAGGGCCCAGCCTGGGAAGGATGCACGCTGGGCAGCAACCTCACCTTGTGGAGGGGTGAGCGGCTTTCCATGCTTCTGGCACCAGCCCACTGGGTGGATGTAGGGACTGCTGGGATCACACCTGAAACCCAAGAGTACGTCATTGTCCTAGGAGAACGGGGGAGGGCTGAGCCTGCTGTCCCCATAGCATGGCACCGGGGACTTCCTCAGCCTCCTTCTTGGTGAGAGGGACATGGGTGATTAACATTGGGTCAGAAAATTGCCACATGGACTGAAAACTCTATCACATCATAAGAGCTAATAAAGATTTATGTTGTGTGTACATGCACGTGTGTGTGCACGTTCACACACCTCTTAATCAAGGTATTTTCTGATGAAGTAGGAAACACTGAGCTTTGTAACCCATGACTCAGCTTAAATCCAGGACAGCTTGCTATCCTCCCCCCCCCCCCCCCCCCCCCCCCCCCCCCCCCCCCCGCCAAATCCAGAGCAATATCTGAATAACTGGGTAGGGCCACATGGTGTCTGAGGTCCTACAGGGGATGCCTCCTCCCCTGGTGCCTCTTCCCCAGCAAGTCCCAGTACCAGTAGTCATATGTATCATCCCAGTTGTCAAAGTGCACCAGGAAGCGGCCATCTACCACATCGGTCACACTGGCCACACAGACGAGGGATGGGTTCATGCGGTCCACAGCCTCCAGCTTCATGCCCACCTGGAAGCCCACTGGGGGAGAACTCTAGGAATAAGAAGAGGGCTGTCACAGCCCGGGGGCCAGGGTGGCCGGAACTAGCCTGGAGCTGCTAGCCAACGCAGGAGCAGGTTCTCTGCACGGATGCCTGGAGGTGGGAAGTGGGCACCAGGGAGAAATAGGCAGGGAATGAGGGCTGCTCTGGGCCACACAGGGACTTCTGTCCTCCAAGTGTAATGACTTGTGGGAGAAGGTCAGGGACTGTCAGGAGGCTCTGTATTTACCCCAAAGTCCCAGCAGGCTGAGGACAAGTCTCCCCTACCCTAATGAGCCTAGCCAGGCTTGCCTGAGGCAGCTGGGGCAGTAGTTGGGTGGTGGGGGAGGGAGGGCTGCTGTGTTCCACCCCTGAAGGGAGCAGGGAGCAGGGAGCGACCAGGGAACTAGTATTGCATGGTTGCCACAAACAGAAGCTTCAAAGACAGCACTTCCTCATCTCTAAGCGCCTGTCTAAGACAGTCATTCTCCTCCTAGAAGTGACTTCTGTGACTCAGAACACAAAGCAGTTAATGCCAGGGCCAGAGGTCAAACAGTTGACTTAAAAATCCGCATTTCCAGACTGGACAAAGGTGGCCCACGCCTTTAATCCCAGCACTCCAGGAGGCAGAGACAGGCCGATCTTTGTAAATTCAAGGCCAGCCTGATCTATGGAGTGAATTCCTGGATAGCCTGGACTAAACAGAGAAACTCTGTCTTGAAACAAAGAAAAAAAAAAACCAAAACAAAAAGGGGAGTTGTTCTCTGACACAGATACACACACATTAATAATAATAATTTTGCCAAGTGATAGTGGTGCATGCCTTTAATCCCAGCACTTGGGAGGCAGAGTCAGGCGGATCTCTGTGAGTTCGAGGCCAGCCTGCTATACAGAGTGAGTTCCAGGACAGGCTCCAAAGCTACACAGAGAAACAACCACCCTGCAAAAAAAAGTATTATAAAATATCTGCATTTCCCATGACTAGGAGGTGGGCCCTTATTAACCACCTCTTGACCCCAAATAAGGTCTCTGGAGCTGGACTGGAATGGGAGAGTAACTGTCCCTGTCAACAGCAATCATGAGTCCCTGACCCTTCAATATGGTCATGGTGGCAAGGGACACGCTACTAAGATGCACAGCCAGCCCCCAGTATGGAAATATTTTCAATGGGAGCTCCCTATCTCTCAGACCCTTTGCTTGGGGTTATGTGATACTTAACTAATTGCTCACACCGCCACCGCCTCTGAGCAGATTAACACCAGGAGGTGAGCTGGTGGGAACATAAGCAAAGAGGAAGGCTGCCAGAACAGACTTTGACCTCATTCCACTAAGCTGCAGAGCAGATCCCCTGCGCTGGCTACAGTGACTCTAGCCTGAGGGTGGTATTCACCTGTGCCCAGATCCCCTGCGCTGGCTGCAGCGACTCTGGCCTGAGGGTGGTATTCACCTGTGCCCAGATACTCACCTGGCCCTGGCTTACGAACAGGTGCTTGGGGGCTGCCTGAGCTCTTGTACTGCGCAGGTACTGGCTCCAGCTGAACTCCTCTGCCTTGTAACCTGGGCCCCTCGGGGGAATGAAGAGAACGCTGTGCAGAGGCTGGGCCATGGTGAGGACCCCAGGAATGAAGTAGAAACAGGCAGGTCTGAGGTCCCCCAAACCCTCAGGGCCCCTCTGCTAAAGGAAGATGAGACCTGGTGAACACTCAAAGAGTTTAGAAGCCTCAGGGTGGAGTTGTATCACAATGGGACAGAGAAAGTGGCCAAGGTTTTGGGCTTTAAAAAAAAATGTGGGATGCAGGGTGACCTGAAGGGAGTAAGGGAGTCTGGGGACTCACTGTCTTCCAGGGATAACCCAGGGAGGTCTTACCCTTGGGAGGCTGCAGCTTGTGGCCAGTCTTCTCAAACCAACCAGCAGGATGAATGTCAGGGGAGTTGGCATTGACCCAGAAGTCATGGCACTCAGAATACCCATCAAAGTGCAGGCGCAGGCGGTAGCCACACACCTGGTTGTGACAAGAGTCAGAGGCACGTCAGTGCCAGCAGATACCGCCTTCCCACTCCTCCGCCTTTCCTGGTCCAGCCTGCAGTCCTAAGGATCCAATGCTAGCAGGCGCCCTGGGTGCTGAGGGGGCATGATGGGTCTGCTGCCCTCCTAAGCCCCAGACAGGAAGCAGAAAGTACTACAGGTCATCCCATGCCCTTGGACTCTTTCCTTTAGCCATATTCTCTCACCGTACACTCTCAGTGTACCCTGCTCTGCTCACAACATCCCATGCCCCAGGGACCATTTTGCTGCATCTGCTTGCAATTTCCTGCTCAAACACAGGTGGCGGCAGATAGACCTTCCTACACTTTCCCTGCCCACTTAGGCCAAATGGAATATTCCTTGATCTGCAAGCCCATGGCCTGTACTGCTGTGTCCATCTCACAGATTCCCTTCCTAGAGGACAGGGCCCTATTTGATTCAAGATGGCATCCCTGCCTTTTGGATCTTTTACATCTACCCCACCCCCCAGCAAAGACAACTTATACTATTTAGTGATACCAGTGTCCCGCTGCTCCCCGTCTGCTTCCCAGTCTTTGCCTTTAGCCTTCCCTATAGTCCAATGGATCCTCTTGTTTGTCTGGGCTCCCTGAGGTAAAGCAGTGCCTCTCACCGCTACCCACAAGGGCTCCATCACTCTACACTGAGACACTGGGAGGGTGTTTCCAGCTCACCTCTGCCACGGTGAGGATGAAGTACATGGACGGGTGTTGAGGGTCAATGCCTTCCAGCTTCATGCCCAGTTTGAAGCCATTCTTGTTAGGGGCGACTGCCTGGGACTGTCAACGCACAGAGTGGAGAGGACCCGGCTTCCATCCAGCCTTATCCTTGCCTCATGGGCTTGGGGTGAAGGAGCTCCCATAGGCCCCATCTGCCTGCTGGCCTCAAAAGGGTGACTTATTGGGGATCTGTCCTGCAAGGGGTCCCCAGAGGGCGAGAGAGTTGCAGCACTATTCTGAAGGGCTGGATCAGGGCTAGAGGTAAGGGTTCTACCACCTACCTCATGGTGAGGTCAGTGTTAAACTGCAGAAAAGATACCAGAACCCACAAGTCAGCAGATGACTTCCCACCCAGGAAGTCCCTTACAGGATACTCTTTTCAACTCTAGACATTTTCATCTTGCTAGTATGTCAAGGATTGTCCAGAAGAAAACACTAGAAGCCCTGCGCTTGGTGGTGAGTCCCCGAATTGAGAAGATAAAATCTCCTTAGACTGAAATTGTCCAACTCACATCCTGGAAGAGGCTGACTGGGGCAGTGACAGCCTTCTGCTCCTCCAGGTAGGACTCCCAGGACCAGCCTTCCTTCTTCTCCTCTGACACTGCAAAGACAAAACAGGCAGGCTGTTACTGTCAAGGCATGTACAATCTTCCTCAGTTTCCCCTAAGTTCTACAAGCAAACCTTTGTCTGTCCACACGGACATCTTGCCACACTCAGCTAGGCAAGTGTCAGGCACAGGGGGCTCAGACCTGAGGCGAGGTCACAGATTCTGTTTCTCCTCCACCCTCAAGCCACTGTCAGCAGTTGCCCTTTGGATTACACAGCAACTAAGATCACAAAGTATCAGCCACGCTGTCCTTGGACATGTGCAGGGTGAGGATTAGTGATGAAGCCTGAGCCAGAGGACTTAGTCACACTGATACCTAAGCTCACAAAGGGAAGAGTAGGAGGAAGAGCAGGGAGGAAAAAGTGAAGGACAGAACACACAAAAGTAAGAAACCTTTCTAAAGAGTGTTTTCTTAACTACTTACAGGCATAGACATACAGATATGGGTGTGATCCTAGTGTGCTCCAGCACACAGACCAATTCCACAGTCTTCCCAGACATGTACATGCCGAGGGTATGTGTATGTGATGGGTACACGCATTCATGGACGGACATGGGTATGTGCAAACACACACAGAGAAAGAGGTGGGGGACACACACAGATATGAATGAAGTACTTCCAGAGTCTACAGTTTGAGTCTTGTTCATAACCCTAAGAGGACCTGGACGGGAAGGATGGGACATGATCCTGCTGGTAAGCTCCTGGCCTCCACGCACAGGACTCTTTTTTAAAAAAAAATTTTATTTATTTATTATGTATACAATGTTCTGCCTGTATGACAGAAGAGGGCTCCAGATCTCATAATAGATGGTTGTGAGCCATCATGTGCTTCCTGGGAATTGAACTTGGGATCTCTGGAAGAACAGCCAGCGTTCTTAACCTCTGAGACATCTCTCCAGTCCTGCACAGGACTCTTTAAAAGCTGTGACAACCAGTTACCCCACCAGTAGGCTGAGCAGCTCAGCTGAGGTGCCTTCCATTGAAGGCCACAGACAACCAGAGACCCAACGACGCGTAAGCACTGGCTTGCATTTTGGCAATGGACTCAGCTTTGTGATGTCAGCTAGTGATGTGGGAAGGTCATTTGTCAATCTGTTGTTTCATTGGTTAATCAATAAAGAAAACTGCTTGGCCTGATAGGTCAGAAAATTAGGTAGGTGGAGTAGACAGAACAGAATGCTGGGAAGAAGGGAAGTGAGTGAGCTAGACGCCATGCCTCTCCTCTCCAGGGCAGATGCAATTGAGCCAGCCACCAGGTCAGACATGCTGAATCTTTCCCGGTAAGATACCACCTTGTGGTGCTACACAGATTATTAGAAATGGGTTAAACAAGATATGAGAGTTAGTCAAGAAGAGGCTAGATATAATGGGCCAAGCAGTGTTTAAGTGAATACAATTTGTGTGTTGTTATTTCGGGGTATAAGCTAGCCGGGTGGCTGGGAGCAGGGCAGCACCACTCCTTCTACAATCTAGCATAGGGCGCATGTGAGGATTCTGAAACACATGGGTCAGGAGAGGTCCTTATGAAACACCAAGACTAGAGTTAGGTTACTGAGTCTTCCTGCTCTTACTCAAGACAGATTAACCCAACTCTTCCTTGCTCTGGCTCACTCAGCCTTGGGTCACTCCAGCTTGTGGTGATTTGTTGCTCAGGAAGATGGTTCATTCCTCAGTGGAACTCAAGTTTGTTCTAAAGCTGCCTAAATTCCTTAGTCACCGCACCAAACCTTGAGCTCCTGATGACCTGACCCAGCTGAGCTAAGACAAATATTTTGTTCATCAACTGATCAACCAAGCTATCAAACTCTCTCTCTTGGAGATTGATGTCAATGCCAAATCTAGCGCACATCTCTTCAGGGCATCCTTTGTCCCGAGTAAGACTCCTGCTACAGCCCTTCTGCTACAGCCAGCTCTCCCGGACTCTCCTAGCTCTCTACACAGCTTCATCTATACTCCCTGAGCAGGAGCATGAAAAAACAAAATCAGTCCCAAAAGAAAGTCTGACCAGAAAGTCCAACTACAGCTGTCTATAGGAAAGAAGGAGCCCGCTTCTGACTGGTCTACGAATATGAGGCATTTTTACATGATTTGTATGAAGGCATCACAGAGGCCAGCTGTAAAACGGATTCCTTCCGGCTTCCAGAGTGCTCCTTTGCTTGTTCCTGCTTCCTCAGATGCCCTTGGCAAGCTCGGCCTGGTCAAAGCCAACCTGGAAATGACTACAGCAAAGCTTGGGGCCTTTTTGGTGCTGTTTATCCCAGTCAGTGATACTTCCATCCACTCATCCAGCCAGGAACCTGGCAGCGACCTGTGTGCTTCTCTACTCCCCAGAATCCTCCAGTCCTGCTGATTCCAACTCCTGTGTCTCTCTTGAGTCTGTCTCCACCTCCTCATTTAGTCCTTGCTCTAAATACCTCTGAAGTAAGGCGGTTTCTTTTTTCCCCCACATTATCTTCTCATTTCAAACTAAAGGACAAAACCAGACACAAAACCAGCACCTGGGAACTAACCACCCCCTCCTGCTCATGCTTTACCACGAACCTCAGTGCCTCTGTGGCTGTGAGTTTGCACAGACTGAGCCTCTATTTCAGGTATCCCACGCCACAATTTTCTTCCACCCTCCTAACTTTTTCTCACTCTCTAAGACCCAGATCCAGGTGCAGCATTAGTTAGGGTTTCACAGGGGACAGATGTTCAGCAAGTGTTTATTATACGACTAGAGAAAGGGCAGATGGCTGTACCAAGTCTCGGAATGACTGACTGCACATGGCAGTTGTCCTGTGAAACAGTTTTGTACTTACACACTTTACACATAATACCTGTTATATGATATATAACATACTGTTATATTATATATTATACATCATACTGTTATATGATAGCTACTTGTCTATATATTCATCTCTGCAACTGTGACCTCCTTAGGCAAGACTTGGTGTCTAGCTCACTCTGAATGCTCAGCTCCTAGCCAGTGCTTGATACAGAGTAGACAATATCTAGAGGATAGAGAGAGAAAATGCAGCAGACAGGATGCTAACACCATGGACCATCTAAGGCTACATAGTAAGATCCTGTCTAAAAGAGGGATGGGGCGGGGAGAGATGACTAGGTCCTGAGGGCACTGCCCGTGAACATGTTGCTATTGAGGAATTATTCTGAGAAACTAATGAAAGCCAAGGACTATCTTCTCCCCCAAAATGAAGGGTTTGTAGAGTTTTGCATGGATATTTGGCTTAGGAACTTCCGTTAAGAAAGTGTTTCTAAGCTGAGCATGGTGGTATATGCGTATAATTCCAGCTCTGTGGAGGCAGAGGCAAAGTTGGCCTGAGATGCAAGGTGAGTTCCAGGCCAGCCTGGGCTTACAGAATGAGAAGATGTCACCAATAAACAAACAAACAAACATCAGAACGTCTCTAAGCTGGGTGAGGTGGCACATGCCTGTAACTCAAGATCTGCAAATCAGAGCCAGGAAAACTGTAAATCAGAGGCTAGCTAGAGCTAAAGACTAAGACCTTGTCCCAAAAAAATAAAGACACTTCACTAAACCAGATGGGATGGTAAATGCCTTATAATCTCAGTACTTGGCTGAGGCAGGAGAATCATTCATTTGAGGCCAACCTAGGTTGTATAGTGTGATTCTGACTCAAAAAAAAAAAAAAAAAGTCCAGGAGTGGTGGTACGCGTCTTTAATCTCAGTACCAGGGAAGCAAAGGCAGATGGATCTCTGAATGGGAGGCCAGTCTGTTATGTGTAGCAAGTTTCAGGCCAGCCCAGAGCTACACAGTGAGCCCTGTTTCAAAACAAAACAGAAAAATCATCCTTAAAAGCCAAAATAAATTTTGAAAGAAAACGGTCGGGGAGGAAGAGAGAAAGAGAAAGCAAGTGAGAAGGCAGACAGAGCCCCTGAAGTTGGCATCCTGGCATGTCTGTTCTGAACTGCACTCATTCTGAGGCCCTGCCAAGCCCATATGTCACTATAGCAGTTCAGCACAGCATCAGTTTCTTACACCCAATTTAAAAGTGAGCAAGGGTCTAAATTTCTCCAAAGAAAATGTATAAATGGACAATAAATTCATAAAAGAGACATCACGTATCACTTACTAGTCATTAGGAAAACACAAATCCAAACAACGGGGAGACATCCCACAGGATGGCTAAGATGGAAAGACAGAGTCACCAAGTGTTGAGGACAGGGATAAGCTAGAACCCTGCACATTCTGTTGGGGATGCAAGATTACAGTACAGTCACTTTGGAAAACAGCCTAGTAATAATATATCCAGATGACAAACGCAGAGCTATTATGTGAAAGAAAATTTCACTCCTAGGTATAAGCCCAATATAAACGAAGCATATGTCTACAAAAAGCTTGTACTATAATTCATATAAGAGAATATAACAGCCCAAAATAGAAGCAATCTGCCCATCAACTGATGAATAATCACTGGTGTGGGAGGTCCTTTTGTCTTTCTTTTGCTTTTATTGGTTAATGAATAAAGAAACTGCCTTGGCCTATAGCACGGGAGGAGGAAGGCAGAGTCAGGGAGAAGCCATGGAGCCACCAGAGATAGATGCTAGAAACTTTAACCGGTAAGCCATAGCCACATGGTGATACACAAATCAATAGAGATGGGTTAAATTCATATGTAAGAGTTAGCCAATAAGAAGCTAGAGCTAATGGGCCAAACAGTGATTTAATTAATACAGTTTCTGTGTGATTATTGTGGGGCTGAGCTAGCCAGGTGGCCGGAAACTAATGAGTGGCTCCCTCCAACAAATCACAGCACGGATGTTATTCAGGAAAAGGGAATACAGTCCCCACGGATATTAAAATATTGCTATACCTTGATACCACCGTGCTAAGGAGAAAGAAGACAACCACAAAGTTCAACATGCATATATATTTGAATAAAATGGTCCAAACAAGAAAGTCTATATATGCAGAAGGCAAACTGCTGGTAATTTGGGGGATAAAGGTGGTTTGTGGGGATGACCACTGATGGGCACAATTCAACCACTGAACAGGCATTCAATACCAGGCTAAACATCCAAGACACAGTGATTAATAACCTCAGCCCCAGGCTGGCAGGATGACTCAGCACGTAAAGGCACTCGCTGCCAAGTCTGATAACCAATCATTGACCCCCAGGAACCATGCGGTGGAAGGAGAGACCTGAGTCCAGAAAATTGCCATCTGTCTGCCAACAGACTCTGAGGCACATGTGCCTCCCGCAAATAGATAAATGCAATAAAACTATAAATAAACAAATAAATTCAGACCCTGGGTTGATATAATTTAAGTGTTGGGGACGGAAGATATAAAATGGCTACATAGATGATTACCAGTATGGTAAGCTCTGCTTAAATCCAGTTGCAGCTGTCACCTGGGACTACAGAAATACTAACAACGGGCCTGAGGGCTGAAGCCAACTATGAAGGACTCTTTCTTAGAACCAGAAGATCATACAGGAAGGTCAGGCTAATGACCAGCGTGGACTTGACAATACCACCAAAGGGAAGTAATACTACACAACCCCTCAGGTCTTCGGATACCGAGCCCAGACTTCCCAGGAGGGCCTCCTCGCTGCTGAATGATGCAAGATAAACAGCCCCAAGAATAAACATATAGCCATGCACAAACCACAAGTGGCCACTCGGTCACTTTCATACACACTAACCTGTGCTCACATGTACCATATGAAACCACAACCACGACCCACACTTTCAGTCTCACACCTCCAAAAGTATATAAATACTTCACATAAACAACCGCACACAGGCCGCCATACCCAGCTGGCCTCGGCTCCACTCTTCACCCTCTGGGGTGCTGGTGGTAGGCTGACTCTCTGGATCTTTTCCTTCTTGCTTCTGTAGAAAGAAAGACTAATTCCAGCTTCCTGTCCTCATGGGTCAGGATGTAAGTTCAGCCTCTAGTCCCTGGCCCCTGCCTGGCTCTCTGGTCCAATGTTATGCCCGAAATTGGAAGAGTTTCCTGCAGGGTATACGCGGGAACTCTGCTCCTGAAGTCAATTTGTTGTTTGGGTTTGCACCACTGGGGGGTATAGATTCATATGAGTACCCTTGTCACACAGCCTGACTACAATTCTCATTCCCAGATGGGGAAACTGAGTACATGAATATCTGCTCTGTGCTGATTTTACCTGCTCAAGAGACTCTTTCTGCATCTACAGCTTCAGAGAGGTGTTTCCCGACCTCTCATTTAGGTACTAGACTCTAAAGATTTCATTTTCCACTGCCACGCATCCACCTTAGGTGCCAATGCCCCTGTGTGTGTTGTAACCCTGACACCAGTTCATGATGGGAGCCACAGAAAATTAGGAGAATAGTCAGGAGGTGGAGGCAGAAAGATCAGGGTTCAAGGCCAGTCACATCTACAGGGTAAGTCCAAATTCAGCCTGGGCTATATACTAAGTCCCTCCCTCCTTCCTTTCCTTTCCTTTCCTTCCTTCCTTCCTTCCTTCCTTCCTTCCTTCCTTCCTTCCTTCCTTCCTTCCTTCTTCCCTTCCTCCCTCCCTCCCTCCCTCCCTCCCTCCCTCCCTCCCTCCCTCCCTCTCTTCGTCCCCCTCTCCGTCCTTCCTCCCTCTCTCCCTCCTTTTTTCCCTCTCCCTCCTTCCTCCCTCTCTCCCTTCTTCCCTCCCTTTAATTAGGTTTAATACCTGATTCAAAATGGAACCAGAAGATATGGGAGCAGGCACAACAGGATCTCCACCCCCTCCCCCATCTTGGACTGGCAAGATTACAAGGCTGATGCTCCAGCTTCGCATTTCTCTCCCCGCCCCTCTTTTTTACCATGGCCTCTGTTTCTGACTCCTCTGATGGGCTCTGGTACTCCCTATGTTTCCTCTTCTTCATGGGCTTTAGGAGCTCGGAAGCGACCGCACAGCCCGAGTTCTCTACTATGACTGACCTACAAAAGGAACGCTCTCATTAGAGGAAGAAACAAAACCAAAAAAGCAAAACAACAATAAATGATAATAATAATAATAATAATAATAATAATAATAATAATAATACAACCAAAACACTATAAACTCAGTAGAATTCACAGTATTCACATTTTTCTAAGCCTGAAGTCGGAAAGATACCTCAAGGGCTAAGAAACAGGGCAAGAAAGGCTGTAACTCCTTGTTCTTACCGCTTCTGGAAAGGCAGAGGGTGGTGGTCATCTGAAGAACCAAGGTCTGGAGCAGTGCTTTGTTGAGGCCCAAAAGTCTGGTACTCTCTGGAGCTCGCGTCTTCTGGGGGTTCCTGAGAGGTGTCTTCTTGAGGGTCCTGGCGGACATCTGTGGAAACCGGCTGGGCCTTAGTCTTCTCACCCTGGACTGCCACATGCTGGCTCCGCTCACATACCTATAGCCCATCTTCTACTGGACAGCATCCTTCAGCCTTCTCCACTTAGGACTGCCTCCCTTCACATTCCCATCCAAGAGTCTTCAGGGAGCTCAAGGGTCACCCACCCACACACTGCCCCCGGAAGCAGGATCCTACCAGGGTACTGGGTGCCCGTATTGCCTTCTGTAGAGCCACCTTCATGTCCGAACAGGCTTTCTCGCTGCCGTTCCGGGCTTGGCGGTCGCTGTACTCCCATCATGTTCAATGGCGCATATTCGCTTATTCGGAACTGGGAATACAGAAAAATTTGAGGACCGTGACTAACTACTACATCAGCTCTCCACCCACCTTGGGTCACCCACACTTTATGTTTGCTCTGCCAGCGAACACTTCTGGGGGTCTATAGACTCTGCCCACTCCGCCCCGACCACGCCCCCACATACGGTTCTGTTCCTAGAGATTACTCACTCTAAGCCACGCCCACCAGCCTCAGCTTTTCCGCCTCAAGCCCCGCCTTCAAGCCCACAGGCCCCGCCCCACAGCTGCCAATCCTCCTGGGCACTGACCCGTAGGCCACTCCCAGCTGAAGGTGTGCAAACTCCTGTCCAATCCAGGAGCCTGACTGTGCTATTGGTCCCTGGCCCGGTGCTTAGCTGTGGCAGAATGGTGGCAGTAACTGGTTCGCTGCTAGTCACTCGCTCCAGGGCACCTACATGGGCTGGCTCTCGGGGATAGGACACCGCTGAAGCCGGGCTGGGCAGACTAAGGGTAGTTGCATTGCCTGGAAACAGATACGCAGATAAGACAGAGCACAGATGAGTCTGGGTACCCTTTCTCCTCCCATGCATGTGTATACAGGTGAAAAGCAGGTATAGAAGAGTGAAAAGTGGCCAGGTGAGGTGGCACACGCCTTTAATCCCTGTACTCAGGAGTCAGAGGCCAGCCTGATCTACAAGGCAAGTTCCAGGACAGCCAGGGCTACACAGAGAAACCCTGTCTCAAATCAAACCAAAACAGAACACAGTAACAAAAAGAGTGAAAGTGTCCTCCTTGCCCCTGTCCACATCCTCTTGAGCAAGTACGGGACCTCCAGACCACTGATCTTGACTTACTAGGAATAATAAAGGCAGTTGCAGGCAGGTGAGGACGGGGACCTGCGCTGTCTCTGGCCATCAGGTGCACACTGACCTCCCCTGTGGAAGACCCCTTCAGTGTCCTTAGCACCTCCATTTCCGTGTGTCCCTCCATCCAGATGAGTCTACAAATCAAACACAGTCACCAGGATGATGATGATGGGGAGAGAAGGGAATCTTTGGAGGAGAAACCGGTCACCTTCAAGTCAGCAACTTGCTGAGAAAGGTCTCATCTCCAAGAGGAGTATAGTTGTCTTTTTGTTTGTTTGTTTTTGAGACAGGGTTTTTCTGTGTAGCATCCAGAACTGAAGTGTTTTAGGATATCAGCATCAGGTCTGACTCCTGCCTTTACCAGGTTATTGATAGAACTCTGTCTAGGCCCTGCATCCTCCCCTGCTCATTATTTGTGAGGATGGGCATAATGGCATGTGTGAGGGTACCACGCACGCTGCATGTACAGAAATGGCTTATAGGAAGCATGATTCAGGCCAAGGTTCTGTTTTTGTCAGTGGCACAGCCCAGGCTAAGTCCAAATCACTTCTTTCTTGATTCCCCCACTTCCATTCCCCGTCTTTGAGAACTCAAGAGTCTTCAGGACTACATGCTACTCTATCCAAACAGGGTCAGTCCTTGTAGAAGGTGACATCTTTCCTGATTTTGTTCTTTTGTGTTTCCCTGTGCACCACTCCCTCTAACCCCAGACACAGCCATGTATGGTTAGCCATAGATTAATTACAGAGGGCCATAATGCCTAGGCCGCAGCCTCTGTTGAACAAATGCATGTACCTGAATAGCAAAAGAATAGCATGTGAAAACCCAGTCAGCACAAGGTCCAGAAGCTGGGGGGTTTAGCTTATTGCAAAGCACTGGACTAGTATGCATGAATCCTGAGTTCAAATCCAGCACAGGGGTTGAGGGGCAGAGAAGGGAAAGGAAGGGGGAGGAGAGGGGAGAAGAGAAGAAAGGTATTCCACAGCACGGTTACTACTCAGCTGCTCCTTAGCCATGGCTTCAGGCATAGATGGTAAGGAAGAATTTTGAGGCTGAGCCCAGGACGGAGTCTTGAGTTAGACTCTCAGCTTCTCCATATTCACTTGGTGCCCGTGACTCCAGATAAGCAGCTTTCCCACTCTGAGCCTCGGTTTTCTTTTCTTTTTGTTGTTGTTTTTTTTTTTTGTTGTTGTTGTTGTTGTTTGTCGTTTTTCAAGACAAGATTTCTCTGTATAAAAGCCCTGACTGTCCTGGAACTCACTCTGTAGACCAGGTTGGCTTTGAACTCACAGAGATCTGCCTGCCTCTGCCTTCCAAGTGTTGGGATTAAATGTGCTTTCCACCACTGCCTGGCAAGCCTTAGTTTTCTTAACAGTAAAGTAAAATGAAGGTGACAATGGTACCTACCTGAAGGGGCTTTGGTAAATGCTGGCTGTGAAGTACTGATACCAGCAGGCCTTCGACAGACAGCAATCCTCTCCCGTTAGACAGAAACTCCAGGGAGTTGGGCAGCTTCTAGCCAATACCATGGGCACTGCCTACTTGTAAAGTCAAGTTGCAATGGCTGCTGTCGTGTGCCCACCCTCCCTTTCTCTCTTGTTGTTCTTGTGTATTCATTTATCTCCAAGAGTTTCCTCCCTAAAATGGAATATATTACAGATGCCTATCATTAGAAGTATAAAACCATGGGATAAACAGGTAGATAGGGTCAGATATGTGACCTGATTAACTAAAGAAGCATTCAAGCCAAACAAGATGAGTTTTTAAAACTTGAGTTTATAAAAATCCAGTATCTCCCAAATTTCAATTCCAATTCATTTTGCTTTTTACAGCTTAAGTGTTTATATCACTTAGAAATATTAGCCTTATTTTATGTGTACAGTTGGTTTTGCTACACTGTGTGCATGTGGTACCTGCTGTGGCCAGAAGAGGGCTTCTGATCCTCCTGAAACTGGAGCTCCAGATGGTTGTCAGAGACCATGGGGTTGCTGGGAATTGAACCTGGGTCCTCTGCAAGAGCAACAGGTGCTCTTAACCCTGAGCCATTTCTTCTGCCTCTGTGTCACTTACAGTTATTTTAAACAGAATAAAACTCTTATTTAAAATACTGACGATTATGAAGAGAGGCTGCTTATTCAAAGAAGTCTTTAACAAAAAAAAAACAGTCCCCTCTGGCAGGTGTCTCAGAGAAGCAGCTGAAGATGGGCTTTCTGACAGGACTTTGCTGTCTGGTCTCAGTACGTCCCGGAGAGCTAGTGAAGTGCCAACACTGCTCTATGCTTTGGGGACAGTGGTGCTCCTGAGACACAGGGTTCTCATGAGCCTTCTACTTTAAGGGATGAGGCTGCAGCTGGAGACACATTTGAAAGTTGTTGCACACAGATGGTGTTTAAGACATAGAAGGGAATGCAGAGAAAAGAGGGAAGCCTTGGAGCACCAAAACAATTGCAGGTTGGGAGGGCAGAGGAGATCCAGTGCCAGTGAGAAAAGCTTGCAGCGAACTGGGAGGGGATTCAAAAGAAGCCCTTTCTGGAGACTAATGGAGACAACTGTCAGCTATCAGCCTCAGGGGAACTCTCATTCAAATGTTCTCTACCTAAGACAGCTATAGATGCTCAGTTGACTGAGGCCTATCAAAGAACCCATCTCTTTACCTTCATTTGAGGCATCTCTGCAGGGCCATCTCAAGTCTAGGGATTCCTGCTCCCCAGGCTGAAGCTCTGTTGAGACTGTATCGGTATTTCACCATCTCTGTTCCATCTTGCTGGCTTCACAGGGCTACGCCCATAAACCTACACTTAAATCTGTGTTTCCAGGAAATCCTACTTAAAACGAGAGTAGTTGCACATAGCAAGTGCTCAATAAACAATTTTGGAATGTATTCATTCCGTCTGTCAGGCTTTACACACACACTCCACCCAGAGCCCTTTGATGTCTTGTATACAGCAGACACCCAATAAATGCCCTGGTGGTAGGTGTTGGGAAGAAGAGAGATAGTTCTGGAGGCACACAGAAAACTTGGAGGGGCTTCCCCTGGCTCGTCTCTGCCGAAGCTAATGTAGACGCTAGCGAGTGGAATGCGCTGTTGGAGTGTCTAAGCCCACCCACCACCCGCCTCCCTCGACTAACGCAGACAGTTGCAGGCGGGGCGGTCACTGATCCATTTGCTCTGCAGAAGGGTTACTTTTTTTAAACGCCAAAATGGCGGAATTTTTTAGGTTTTTTTTTTTTCCCCCCCGCTTATAGCCAATTTTTTAAAAATCCAATTTTCTGTTAAAAAATATTGAAAATCAGGGACAGAGGAAAGTTTGCCAAATGGCCTATGGAAACCCGAACTCGCCCTCCACACCCTCTCATTAACGGAAACTCTTAATTGATTGCATCTCTTTGCAAGGCCGAGTCTCTGCCCTCCCCGCGGCTCTGGATGCCGACAGCAGTGCCGGTGGGCTCGCTCGCCCGGCATCCCGCAGCCCCCAAAGGGAGTGCCCAGCCCTGGTACTGCAGAGCCACCTCCCCAGCCCGCGGCCAGTGCGCCAGGAACTGAGAAAGTACCTGGGGTGGGGCCCTCAGGACACCTGCACTCGCCACGCCGGCCGGGACCGGGGTGTGACGTACCGGGAGCCCCCAGCCCGAGTCCGACCCGTGCTTACCTGCAAGGCTTGCGGGTGCAGCCCGCGCCAAGTGACCGAGGGCGCCCGGTGTGGCGCGCGCCTGCGCACACAGGGGGGCGGGTCCGTTCCCTGCAGAGCGCGGCGTGGAAGCTGCTTAAGCCGCCTGGTCTGAGCGGCCATGGACCCAGGTTGCAGCTTTTGCTTTTGTCGGAGCTCTGGGGGTGCAGGCTTAATTGCCTCTTCCCCACAGGACCCGTTAGCTTCGCGGGAGAAGTGGGTGGAGATTCTTACAGTATTCTGGGAACCACGGAGCCGGGAGCGGCAGCCAGCCTGATGGACCTCCAGCTGAGTGATCTGTACCAGGCAAGGCGCACCCCTGTATACACCTGGGTCCCCCATTTGGAGAAGGGGATTTCAGGATTTTCGGAAAACTCTCCTAGGATGGGTGAAGAGCACGCACATCCAGATGAAGGAAGCTTGGCACCACGCGGCGTCTGGCCTTGGGCTTGCCTGGCATGAAGGACCCTAGCTGTGCCAGCCTTTGGGTGACCTGGGAACATCACTGTACTCCTGTGCTTCCGTTCAACATTGGAAGACTGTCAAGCCATGTTCTAGAGTTCTGTAATGGCTCCTTCAGTGTTGATTCAAGCAGGACACTGGCTCCTCTTGTGTCTTCCATTTCCTGAGCTCATCACTCTACCAGACCTCTGCTTTATTGGTTCTTATTCTGGTACCATGGCTGTAACGTCATAGAAACGAGTATTTCAAGAGTTTAGGAGACCCTGCGCTCTAGAATGAAGGAAATCCACCAGGTCTTAGTATTCCCAGTTCCTAGCACAGTGGGTACTAATGAACAAATGTCTTTCTGTTGACTCTTCAGTGCCCCACTTCCTTCTTACACACAGGTTTTAATTTTACCCCCTTATTTTGCCAAGAAGGAAAGAGGTCTATTTGGCTCTTAGGTGGTAGCCATCAGCCAAATCTTTAGATTCCTAGTCCAGATGAAAAATAGTTCTTACTTAAACAGTAAACTCTCCCAAATGTTGTGGCAAACAGTTTAAATTTGAACTATTCTTTACATGTGTTGTCTGGTCTCAACAGTTCTGAACATTTTTGTTCTTAGGGACAAGATTAGTTAGAAAAAGGATGGGGACTGCCATAATCATAGAAGCCTCTTTAAACACACCAACACACAACCATTGCTGTTTTCTTTTATTCAGACTATGCTTATTTAAGATTCAAAAATGGTTAAGTATTAAAATGGTTAAACCTATTAGAACACATGATTCCTCAACAACAAATCCATCTTTTAGTGATTCAAACTGATGCATGAAATTTGAGCAGGTGGGATTCAAAAACAGCTCATATAGATTTCAGTTGCTATTTTCTGCCTATTTACAATCTCATTGGTCTTAATACCTGTTGTTCATTCCAACGCCCCAGGGATGGAGAGCCCCTTCCAAGCTGATGTGATATGGGCAGCTCTGCCCCTATGCTGTTTACCCTGCTGGTCCCAGTTTGCTTAAAGAAGAGAGTGAGCAAGTCCAATGCTTCCTTCATATTCCACCCCCCTTCCCAAGATTGGGCCCAGATGGTGTTGGCATAGAGAAGCATGGAAGAAACTTGTTTGGAGGAAGCCCATTCTTCCTGTTTCACTAGGAGTTGAAGTCACTGTTGCAGTAGTCCAAGGATCTCAGAATAGCAGGGTTCTGCCCTTCACGTGAAAACATCTCTGCTTCCCCAAACACATCAGACTATGCAAATTGGGAATTCTTTTAACACAGAAATTCCCTGTCTAAAGACACCTAAAAAGGCTAAAATACCACAAGGGAGCCGGGTGGTGGTGGCACAGCACTCAGGATGCAGAGGCAGGCAGATCTCTTGAGTTCAAGGCCAGCCTGGTCTACAGAGTTCCAGTATAGCCAGGGTTGTTAATCACACTTGTAAGGGGGAATCAGGAGCAGCACACAGGGAAGCAACTCTGTCCTGACATCTCTTGTCATGGAGGGGTAGGGTGAGGCCCGAGTGACTGGAGTCTTCGATTTTATCACTCACAGTGACAGCAGATAGGGCATTAAGTCTTTGTGGTATTGTGGACTTGGAACTGAAATTCCCTGTCTAAAGATCACTCATTTTCTGAATGAGTGGGGGCGCCTTTCAAACTGTCCCTTGCTGGAGGAAACAGTCATTATTAACTGACTCCATTTTTTTTCCCTTTGGCTTGTTCTAAATCATTTCTCCTCAGCTCACCTTGACTTCCAGAAAGCCCTGCAGACTGTTAATTTTTTGGGGGGGGGTGGTGGTACGAGACAGGTTTCTCTGTGTAACAGTCCTGGAACTTTGTAGACCAGGCTGCCCTTGAACTCAAAGAGATCTGCCTGCCTCTGGCTCCCAAGTGCTGGGATTAAAAGAATGTGCCACCATCGCCCAGCCACAGGCTGGTGATCTTATGTCAGAACTTAGCTGCCCACTCAATGATTCCCCAGGTGGTGACAGCAATAACCCCACAGAATTAGCCCTGGATGACCAAGGCTACTTGGCTGTGTGTTTTTCTTACCCCTAGTTCTGTCTTTCTGGAGTAGCCCTCAAGCTTCTGTTAGTATCTTGAAGGAGTCTAGGAGGCTGGTCCCATTCTTTCCAGATGGCCATACTAAATTCTTTACTGGGAACAGAACCTAAGAATCCATGCATACTAGACCAAACTCTACATCCCCAAACCCCTTCTTTTAGAAAAAAGGTCCTATTGAGACAGTTTCGCTAATGTAACCCTATGTCAGCCTCCCAAGTAGCTGGGATTACAGGTATGAGTAAAAAGCTCAATTTAGCCACTATTCAGGCTCTTAAGGTGACAGACAAATTTGGTCTTTGGGGACCAAGAATTAGGCAACTACCTCATTAGACTACAGGTTAGGAAAATACATAGGCCATTTGGGGTGGGCTCAGGAAGCATTTTTCCTTATTTGGATGCTTAGTGGAGACATGTCATCTGAGGATTGACTCCCTGAACTCATACCACATGCACTAGGAATCATGCACACACTACTCTTTAGAAAGTATTGTGTGTAAATGATGTGTGAGTGAAGGTATACATGTGCCATGTCTCATGAACGGAGGTCAGAGTACAACTTTTGGGAATCAGTTCTTTTCTTAAATCATGACGTGCATGGATCGACCTCCTAATGCCAAGCTTGCAAGTATGCATGGCAAAGCTTTTACTTGCTGAGCCATCTCCCTGGGCCTACCCTCTTGGCAGTCATATTGAAGCAAGAAAGGCAAAGCAAAAATTGGTTCTGGGTAAGTGATTTACTTGTACAATTAAATGTACTACTCCAAAGAGACAGAACACCAGTCATGGGAACCTGCCCATTTAACCATCAGCAGACCTGTCTACACCGACTTGAGGTACCAGTACAGTTTGAAGAGTATAGGGCTCAAAGGCACATTCATGTAGTCCTGGTAATGGAGGCAAGATTTCTTGAGTACCTGGGCAACATAACAAGGTACCATAGTGTTAACAGGTCACCCTCAGACTTTTTGTATGTAAAGGTGCTCTGACTGCATGTTGTTTGTTCCTCATGTGTGCCTGGATACCCTGGGATTGGAGTTACTATGTGGTGCTGGGGCTTGAACCTGGGTCCCCTGGAAGGACAGCCAGTGCTCTTAACCACTGACTCATCTCCCTAGCCCTAGACTGCTTTATCTATTGAGGCTGCTGGGGCTGGTTTGTTTTGGAAATTTTGCTTTCACCTGATTTCTTGGAAAGTCAGCCAAATAGCTTAATTTGGGTTGTTAACAGAACTTTTACCAGGAATAACTCCTCCACTTTGGTCTATTGTCATGTTTACACATCTAGAGGACAACACGTAGCTCTTTTGACCGTGTTGTGTTCCAAGGTCTGAACAGGTTGTCAAGCTTGGTAGAAAGTGCTTTTACCTGTTGAGCCACATCTCCAGTACCCCCATCTTAGTCTATTCTTTTAGGGTTCACTGCTGGAGCTCAATCCAAAACAATGACCCCCCTGTAAGCTTTCACAGAGGAAGGGAAGCTCACAATTTGGCTTGTGAGCCCAGCCTCAGATTGCAGATGCTGCATCATTTCTTTTGAATCCACAGACTGTGGAAGCCTGGGGTCTGAGTAGTACAGGATCTCTGAAAGAACAGAGGACCAGAGAAATAAAAAGTGATGGGACAGCCATGACTCAGTATATGGCCCTTCAGAAATGTAGGTTCCAGATACTCTGGATAGGTAGGTTAATTCAACTGAGCAGACTCAAGACAAGGTGAGAGTAGATGCTTAAGTCTATCCAGCCCTACAATCTCAAGCCCCATTGTTAAGATCAGTGACACCAGTAAGATACACCGAGGGGAAGAACGAAGATGTTCCTTCTTCCTCCCTGTGTGCCCATCTTCTTTGCACAGACTAGTATAAGTATGGACATGAGACCCACCATCTAGCTGCCTAAGTAGTCCAAAGGAAGGGACAGCCCCTTACATAAAGGCCTAATTTAGGAACTCTAGGGTTTTAATACTCATTGAGAAGACTGGTTAGCCAATGCATCTCCAGCTCCCTGAGCTGGGCACTGCAACCACTTAAGCCTTAAAAAAGGGTCCCAACAACCATCTATGATTTTTACTTGCCCTTCGTGCCTTTAAAAAGTTGAAGCGTACAAGAGCTAGTGCCAGGACAGGCTCCAAAACCAGAGAAACCCTGTCTCGAAAAATCAATTAAAAAAAAAAAAGTTGAAGCATAGTAATCATCAAATGGTGTCTTAGGGTGGAAGAGGAAATGATGTGTATTGCTGAGGGAATCCTAGTCCTCATCAGAATACCACTGAGGTGGCCAGGTGATGGCTCAGGGGCTAAAAGCACCTGCTGCCAGTTCTGGTCATTTGAGGTCAATTTCTAGAACCCAAATGGTAGGAGAACTGCTGAACTGACACCCACATTCATAATAATGTAAGAAAAAAATACCACAAGTCAGGAATATAGCTGTGGTAGAACACCTATCTGGAATGCATAAAGTCTCAGCAACTTTGCTCTCTAACACTATAGAATGCCACAAAACACCGGGTTCTCAAGTAGAGGTTTGGAATGTGGTCAACACAGACCCAAGAAGACCACAGATTGTTCAGTTACATAGCAGTTTCCTGAAAATCTGGGCGTGGTGCTATTTTCTCCATCTTTTTGCAGTGCCAGGTACTGAATGTGCTGCCAGCACTACAACCATTAACACTCCTGGCCTGTGACTCAACTGTACTGAATTTATAGGCAGGTGCCACCACACTTAGCTCCAGGGCAGGATCTAGGGTAGCAGGGCCAAATGGAACTTGATGACCGGAACATGTAGCAGTGATCTGTGATGGTAGTCATGTTTAGGACTGCAGGGTCTCAAACCCACAGCTAGAAAAGTGCTAACTCAAGCACAACCCAGGTCCATACCTTTGTATGAAGGTAAAGTTCTGTTAGGGGAACTCAACCGAGTGCAGTCACAACTAAAATGAAACTAGTATAATAAATCTATAATTTTTTTTTCTACTTCTAGAAATAGGCACCATCTACTTTAGAAATCAAGTGCTCTGATGAACTGAGCAGAACTGGCTTCATAGGCAGAGGGTTGAAGGACCAGAGTAAGATGGGGGTCCTTCATTTCAAAGTGTTCCTTTTCTCATAAAGGCCAAAGCAGAAGGGCTTCTTTATCAGGTCAGCTAGGATTGGCCTGAGTGAAGACCTCTCATTTCTTGAGAGGCCAAATAAACAACTCTGTTTTCTGCATGACTTCAAACCTGAGCACGAGTGATTCCCCTCTGCTCTGTTGGGCCTGGTGCAGGAAGTCCACACCAACACTCCCCTGACAATTTCATATGAGAGCTTATTAGGACATGTAAGGCTGGTTTCAAACCCGTATTTCTGGATGGATCAGTGTGTCCAGGGTAGGACCTGAGAAGCTGCATTTCAAACAATTCCCAGCTGTTGATTTAGGTAAACATCTGTGAAAAATAAAACCTATCCATTTACAGCAAATGCAAGGCACCGGATATACTTAATTAGAGCAAATCAAGACTGAAAAAATACACAATGACCTAGCTACTTCAATCTTTATGGGGCAACGGAAAAATGTTTATAAACCCACCCTCCATTTGAGGGCAAACTTACCTATCTACACAGCCCCAATTTCAAAAATCATCTTGTGTTGGATTACAGGCTTTGGCCACACTTGGCAGGGCTTAAAGAGATTTTATATGCCCTCTAGAACTATGTACTATAGCATTACCATTATTAAATGCCTAGAGTTACCTTCAAAATTGAAAGCACACAGGTATATATACTGTTAAAGCTTAAGTGGGTGGTGGTTTATCCCACTATTCTTACTGGTGTTTTAAATTCACTGTAAAAGTTAACAGCAATGGTCAAGTGTCATGGCACGTCTATAATCCCAGCTCTCAGGCTGAGGCATCTTAAACTACTGAGTTTGAGGTCACCTAGATCAGAGTGATCATCCCAAAACATTAATGAAACCTATTTTGTACACAAAAGCCCCCAAAAACATCCTTCTGCAGTTTGTCACTTCCTAACCCAAAATGTTTGGGGATTTTGTTAACTGAGAGCTAATGTACTGGAATCAGAGCCCTGGGAGATTCAGACTACTCCATGTCTATTACTCATGCTGTCAAGAAGCATCTCCGAAGTAGAGTGTAATACCTGCATGTCCTACTTCCTCCAAGGAATCAGGTGGACTTCGCTGCATCACCCTTTGTTTACATTTTATTTTGGAACTGAAACTCCTTTCTGGTCAAACTAGTGCCCATTACTTTATTAACTGCTACAGTAGGAGCCTGGGAATCACTACTGAGAGTCAGGTCTAACCACAAAGGCTATTTATTTAGGATCTGAAGATAACTGTACTAACCCACCCTTTTAGGAAAGGCTACACTTGTGGTTAGAAATTTAAAATTATCAAGAGTCTGAGGCGGGAGGATTGCTGAGCTGAAGGTCAGCCCCTAAATACAGTATTAAGAAAAAAGGGGCAAGCACATGTACAAATGTGATACTACATGCCACTGATACTGCCTTAACATTACAAGTCCAAAGTCATGGTTAGTTTGAGACCAGTCTAAGAAATAAAGACACCTTAAATAGTGTCTACCTTAGTAACTAAACCTAAAAAATTTTATATTCCAAGTATTTTTTTTTCAGACAAGCTATCTTGCTAATTATACCGGCTGGCCTAAAATTCAGAGCAATCTTCCTGCTTTAGCCTCCCATGCTACCACCATAATGAGTCCCTATTAGTTTATTTATGTGAGGGAAAGCTGCATCCTGAGCTATGCTTCAAGCCCTAGATCATTCTTAGAAAAACAAGGAACTCCACCATGTATATGAAATCAGATCGACCACAGGTGAGGCTTTTGAGAACAACATTAAGCAATAGAAAATGCAATGGTATTGAAAGCTAAACCTGTAAAGCCTAGAGTGCCCAGGATTAAGGACATAGATTAAGGATCTGCAAAGTATTTAAAATTTCCTAATTTGAAAAACTGTTGAAAGTATCAACCACAAGATAAAAATGGACAAGAGTAAATACAGGAAAGTAAGACAAACTATCTACTGTCCCCAAACTCTGCCCTCTAGAGCTAAAATAAGAGCACATATCAACTACTAGCCAATGGTAACTAGAACTCAAAAAACTACCGGCCAAGTACTTGGTGCCAAGGGACAACACAATAAACTCAGAACAAGTCTTTCCCTTGGTAAGCGTTTTATTGAGATAAAGCATAAAATAGGTTAACAAAGTAGAAAAAAAAAAGGGTATCCAAGATGAAAGCAATGTTAACACAGGAGGAGTGGGAACATAAAGGCTGAAGTAGGCAGGACTCAAACTGGCCATAAAGGCACTGTGGCATATCAAGAAACGCTATCACGTCCAATAGGACTCAAGATGTTCCCCACTTCTCTTGTGCTCTTTTATCGGTTGGTGCTGTTGATACTCCACCCAGGGCATCACCAATGTGTGCGAGATGGGATTCTTAGATTCTGTGTATTAGTTGGCATAACTGAATTCACTAGTCAGTAAGGAACTAAACATTTTAAGTCAAATTTGCTAAGGCAAACGCTTTAAATGCAGTCAGTGGTTTATTCAGTGAATTTAACAACTAGGGTCTAGGCCTAGATTTTTAATAAAAATGGCCTTTGCCCCTAGAAAAATTATATGGATGTTGGCATTTACCTATACATTATATGCTTATTGGGGCAGCTAAAAATAGTCAAATGCCTCTGTCATGTACTACATTAATAGAAGGCAAGCCCAGTTGAAGATGCATGCGGTCAGAAAGCCCAATTTTACTGATAACCTTTCCTCCCTTTAAAAGACTGTGGCTCAGAAAGCTTTTATATATTTTTCCCTGAAAACAAAGAGCTTTGGTCAAACCCAATTTTTAAAGAGCCATCACTTCGGTCTTTGAACAGGCAAAATGGTAAACTACGACCAGAAACAATTTTAACTTCTGAAATTTACACTGGAAAAATAAACATCTAAACAAAGCATCAAAGAAAAGATGACTAAAGCAGCAGCTTTATCTGACACTATTTCCTAAATTTAGTCTGTTTCCTAAAGTTAGTCTTTTAGAGATTTTGTACCAGAAATTTCTTGAAAACATTCTCCTTTCCCTGTTTCCAAGTATTCCCAGCTACTGATACCAATGTAGGCCCTTGAATACCCAATGTCCCACTCAGCCTCAGTGTATTGCATTTCTGATTATTCAGTCCCACAGAGCAACCCTATAGCACTATAATCCAACTCTTGCTAGGCTATGTAGCAACAGCTGAGGAAGCCAATTCATCTACACCTTGACTAAAGACTGAGGAAGTATTTAGGATGAAATGACTTTAAAACGTCTGAACAATGAAAGGGTTGTAAGGTAATTCACTTATTGATTGCAGTCTCAACAAACTGGGCTTTTGGATGCACGGAAACTGCAAGTCCAGTTATTCCTACAAGTTTGCACTGTTTATTTTAACTTGGTTTCCACAGTGTTCATAATGCTTTATGTATAAAGCACAAAGCATTTCAGCTGATCCATGTCACTGTTTTTGCAAACCAACCACAAAAGCCCCACTAACACAATGGGACTGATTGTTAGGAAGTTATAACCAACAAATATCTTACCAAGTAGTCTGCTAAGCACCTGTTACATATAAGCAACTTTCAGCAGAAAATGCAGCATTATGTGCTTTTCCCACTTTGAGTAAGATAACTAAATTCCTAATCAAAGAAAGGCTACTTCTGTTTTCAAAACATTAGAGACCACCAAACCATACACTAACACTAATCACACTGACCACTTCCAGAACACAGGATAACAAGATCCCAAGTACTAGGACTTACTTCTTGAGGAGTTCATTTGTAATCCTTTAGTTTCTTTAAAAACCTCTTAACTGGACAACATCTTGTGACATTAACTACAAAGTCCCTTTTACTTTTAACTAAACTTATTAAAGGGGCAGAAAAAGACTTTGGTAGATATAATTAACAGCACAAATTAAGGTTATCCAAACTGATTAATTTATTGCTGGTCTGAGGCTTGCCTTGTTTTTACACTTCAGTGAAACTTACACTGTCTCCATCAATGGCAGGTATCAACACTTACAGGGCCCTAAGTAGTGACCTATTCAATAAGGCAATCATCTTGGTAGCAAACTTTTATTTAAATCTTACATAACTCAAGCTTTATAAAAAGCCAACATAATTGAAAATTTGGGTTCTCCCTGTAAAGCCTGCAGTATCCAAAGCTTGAAACAGTTAATTTAAAAATAAGCAAACAAAACAACAGAACCCTGCAGCAGATTCTGCTGCAATATGTTTTTTTTAAAAAAAAATCTAAATGAGCTTAATCTTTACAAAAGTTATTTTAGGCTCAAAGGCTATAAAATCAAAATTATCTTAATTCTACAAAGAAGGGACAGGGCTTCATACTACCACTTTAAAACCTCATCTTTTTCTCATTAAATTTGGCCACAAATTAAATTCCTGTGTTCCCTTTTCAGGAAATCCTCTTGAAGAAGAGGCCAAGTACAAACTCGGAAGAGTAACTGCCTAAGCAAGTAGGAAAGTGTTCTGTTAATAGTGTGCAAAGAACGTAGAGTTCAGGGTTAATCTCTGGAACTTGATCTGGACCTTGAACGAGATCTAGAACGGGACCTGGAAGCTCTTTTTGGTGGAGGGGACACAGAACGGGCCTTTGAAGGTGGAGCAGGCAGAGGTGAATGGGATCGAGACTGGCTCCGGGATCTGGATTTTGACTTTATATCTCCTTTTCCATTTTCTTTGGGGGACCGAGAACGTGACCTACTTCGGGACTTCCCATACTCATCCTTAGATCTGCTTCTTGAATGTGAGTGGGAACCCCGATCAGACTTAGGCTTAGATTTGCTCTTTGATCTGGATTTCCTGCCTTTTGAGCGGGATCGGGATCGACCTTTGCTCCGTGACCTAGATCTGTGTAAAAAAAAGTCAGATTTTTCAGTATCTTGTCAGAAAACACATGTATGCCATCAACAGGTAAAATTAAGAGAGACCCAATATCACATTATTTACCGGGAGCGACTTTTTGAGATACTTCGAGATCTACTGCGGCTGCTCCTGCGACTCCTACTCCGTGACCTTCTTCTAGAGCGTGATCTACACACAAGAGACAGCGACATTTTTAATCTCTGTAAGAACGTGTTTGTACTACTCAGCTATGGCTGAAGTATCTGTTTACCACAACCAAGAAACACCATAAATTTAATTAAGCAACAACCGAAAACTACAAGCCACCCCAGCCCCTCATGTTACCTGGATCTACTTCCAGAGTAAGAGCGCCTATGGCTTGTTCGTGGCTTATCTTCAATAAGCCTAATATTTCTGCCATTTATTTCTGTGCCATCCAGTTTATCCAAAGCACGCTTCATGTCAGAGTAGGATCTAAATTCAATTACACCCTCATTTGTGCGTTCTTTGTGAGCATCTGCATAAGTCACCTCTCCTGCTTGCCGCATGAAATCCTAAAACAGTAAGACCGATAAGCCCCAGAATCTACAGCATGTCTATGTAGCACTAACTCTTAATGACCGCCCACCGTCACTTAAAGCCCAGGTACATACCTTTAAGTCTTGCCAACTGCAACGACTAGACAAATTTTCTACAATAAGCCTGAATTCTGTACGAACAGGTGGTCCATATTTGTCTCTGCCAGAAGTTCTCCGACTGCTGTATCCACCTCCACCACCTTTATCACATGGAGGGAGTAATTAGATGCATTGCAATGACAGGGACACATGTTTTTGAAAGTTAGTACAAACATAGCAACGTTTATTACTGGAGTAGGACTTTGCTATTATACTGCTAAACCCTCGATACATTTGTGATTTGCCACAAATTAAATTAAGGGCAAGTCAAATAGACTAAATCCAACTAACCCTCTCCTGCAATCTGTTAGAGAGTGACTGCTCCTTTATTCAATTTACCTCGCTAAGTTTTATTTTACAGAACATTGTAAAATATAAAACTTAACTGATTACATGCATTTCTACATTTACAAAAATGTTTACTAGTTACACTAAGTACTTACATCACAGTGTGAGGTTTTTGGTGGTGGTTTGGCCACAAAACACGCAAGGTAACAGTCACCTAGTTCAGATTAACCAGTTTTGTCTAACCCTTGGAATCCTCACCATCACCCTGCGTCTAATGGCAAAAGGCTGCTGTCGTCATGGCTTCCGGTAAGGTCAGCCAAAGGGTCATAGGGCAAGGGTCACACAATGTATGGAAAAGCCAAGGCCAATCAGGAAAGGCAGTCATCTTAGCCTCAGTGGACACAGCCTCAGCCCCATTGGTCACTTTTAAATTGAAACATCAAGGACTTGTTAAAAAGTTTGAATTCAACATGCAACAATTTCAACATTAAACATTTCACATAACCAAAACCCCCCAACCCCCACCCAGTAACATGCCCCAACTAGTTCCAATACAGCATAAAGCTTATTTAGATTTACTTTGTGGTGTTCTACCACATTACTTAGTTTAAAATGGCATTTTCTTTGGCCCTCGTCCAGTCTCCCCTCTCCTAAGACTTATGCTTCAAGCTCCTCCCCCCTCCCCGCCCCCTGCCCCACCCCCGCCCCAGCTTTCCTTCAAACTTCCTCCATGCTAGCTAAAGCACTGACAGATAAGCAAGGGGTAATAGTACAAATACAGGCTACCCTGCTTTCCACGTGCGGAGAGCCCGCGTCAGTGCCAACGAGGGCCAACTGAAGCCATCCCTTCCAAACTTAGCCAACCTGCCACCCGACCCAATCCCCGCGCTCCGGTGTCCCGTGGCTACCCGAGCATGCGTGGAGGGAGAGGGGCCTGGGAAGACCCAGGGCCAACGACCCCCGGCCTCCGCGCCTGCCCGGGTTGGGGAGGTCCCACCCTGCCCCGCCCCCGTGACTGCACCCACCGCCCCCTCCCGGTACCCAGGACGCGGAGCGCGCTGGGGAAGGACTCACTGCGGCTTCCGTAGCTGTAGCCATCGCGGTCGCGGCGCGGGCCCCGGGCGTGCTCTACGATCACGCGCTCGCCGCACAGCTCCTTGCTGTTCAGCTCGTAAACGGCGTCGTCGGCGTCGCGGGAGTCCTCGAACTCCACGAAACCGTACCTGAGGAGGGGCGGAGCGCGGGCCGCGCACCGGCGGGCGTGTCGTTAGCCGGCGCCGCGCGCTCCCGCGACCTCCCCTGCGCGCGCTCGAGGCGCCGCCGCCATTTTGGAGGCCCTGCCACGCGGCGCCGTGGCCTCGGTCGACTCGGTCCTTGGGGGGGCTCCCTCCGCCACGGGGCGCGGACCCCCAGATGCGACTCACCCATTTTTGAGGTCGATTTCGAGGAGGCGGCCGTAGCCGCTGAAAAAGCGTTGGATGTCCTTCTCGCGGACATTGTAGCTCAGGCGTCCTATGTAGACGCGCGGCATGGCCGTGGCGGGTGGGCTCCCGGGGGCTAGCTGAGGTGCGGCGGGCCGCGGGGCAGGGCTGCGGTGCGGGTGCGGGGACGGCGAAGGCCCGAACACGCGCCTCACACCGCAGCTGCGGCCGAGTCAGCCACACAATGGTGTGCGCGCGCGCGCGCAGGCCTACGCTATATGCGTCCGGGGGCGGGGCGCGGCGCGTGACGTCGGCGCGCAGCACGTCTTCTCCCGCTCCGCGGTCGGCTCGGGGGAGGTCGGCGCTGCTGGCGGCTCGTGCTTGGCTTAGTGCGAGCCGCTCTCGCCGCCGAAATGGTCCCCGGCGCTCGGTACCCGTCTCCGTGCACAGCCAGGACCAGGCCCTTTGACTGGTGCCTTTTAATAAGCTGTTCTCGTGCCCAAGCACGCGGAGGTCGGCCCCTGCTTCTCATTGGTTCCCAGGGATGTCAGTCTGGCCCATTTTCGTCTCTGATTGGTCTACTAAAAAAAAAAAAAAGAGGTTGCTCTTTCCCTCCAGCGCTGGCCCGCGCTGGTTTCGGTGGGTCAGTTCCACAGTTTCTCGGCCGGGAGGTCTTAGTGGCCCGCGGGGACGGAAAGGTGGCGGGTCTCGGTGAGGTCCTTCACTCTGCTCCGAACGCTGACAGCTCTGAATTCCACGATCACCGCGGCTGCTCACAAAGGGAGCGTGGCAGGGTTCCACTCACCAACAGACGGGTGTCCCAGGGTTGTCAGACCTGGTGGTTCCCCAAGAACACCGAGCACTTTTCCTACCCATACTATCTTTAACCTGGTTGGCTCGGAAGGCACGGTATTTGTGTGGCAGGAATGCGCACTTGGTACATATGTATGCATGAATACGCATAGAGGTGACATCTGTAACGCTGTAGAGCAAGATAAGATACCCCCCTCCCTGCCCGAGTAAATTAACTATCGGGGAGCATGCCTTGGGGGTACTCAGGAATTTTCTTAAGTACAGCAAAGGAGTGACTAGAGAGGTTAGGAAGCTGAAAGCATGGCGTGGTGTGATGGGAGCGAGGAGAACAGGCTGTCACTGAGTTATTACCTGCTCTTTAGGAATTCGTTTTCTGCCCTCGGAAACAGGGCAGCCCCAGTCTTTTCAGCTAAGGTGGGAAGAGCGATTCTTTCCTCTCGGGGCCGACAGGCAACGTTGATTGTAGCGAATGGGGGAGATGAGTATCTAGTATCTAGAATGGAAAGGTCTTCCTTAAGTTAGAAATAGAAAAAATACGGGAAGACAGCTTTTAAAAAAGAAAATATTCGTGGAACGTGGTTAGAATGAATCCAACAAATACTATTTTTGTCTTTATCAAATTGTCAATTTATTTTATTAAGTATTTTTTTTTTTTTTTTGTGCATTGGTGTTTTGCCATGGGCGTCCGATCCTATGGAACTGGAATCACAGACATGTCATGTGGGTGCTGGGAACTGAACCCTGGTTCTCTGGAAGAGCAGTCAGTGCTTTTAACCACTGAGCCATCTCTCCAGCCCTAGTCAATTTCTCTTCTTCTTCTTCTTCTTCTTCTTCTTCTTCTTCTTCTTCTTCTTCTTCTTCTTCTTCTTCTTCTTCTTCTTCTTCTCCTCCTCCTCCTCCTCCTCCTCCTCCTCCTCCTCCTCCTCCTCCTCCTCCTCCTCATCTTCTTCTTCTTCTTCTTCTTCTTCTTCTTCTTTTTGGCTCTTTGAGACAGGGTTTCTCTGTTTAACCTTGGCTGTCCTGGAACTCGCTCTGTAGACCAGGCTGACCTCGAACTCACAGAGAGCCTCCTGCCTCTGCCTCCCAAGTGCTGGGACTAAAGGTGTGCACCACCACAGCCTGGCCAAATTGTCAATTTCTAAAAGTGTGTTAAAACTTATTCTTTGTGGACTGCTGAGATGACTGAAGCAGGTAAAGGTGCTTATCCAAGCCTGAGGACTCGCATGTGATTCTGTAGAAGGAAAAAACCAACTCTTTCAAGTTATCCTCTAACTGCCACGTGTGTGTCATGTTCTCAATAAATAACATAACACAACACATTTAAATCCACTATTTGTAACAGCAAATATATATACACACATGCGTGTATATGTATACACATACATATATAGATACCTAAATTACACATGAGAAATCTTTGTCAGATCATCCTATTATCATATTTTGTTCCCCTCCTGCTTTTGCTTCCTCCACATTGCACCCTTCCTACCTTCATCTCACACACACACACACACACACAAATCTGAATAAGGGAAAACATAGGATATTTTTCTTCCAAAGTTGAATCAGCAGCACCTTGGGGAGTCTTGTTGCTGACCTATCCTGGTACTTTGGAAGAACAGCTTAAAGGTGAAATGGCAAGTGTGCAATATGAGAATTTATTATTTCCCCTTTAGTGGGGTGGGGGAGGGAAAAGGAGCAGAGCTAGGAGGATTGCTGTGCCTTTTAGATCAGCCTTGTTACAGTGAGACATTGTCTTAAAAATAACCAGGAAGGGAGGGGTCACTTGTAAAAGTGCTAGCCGTGGGAGCTTGAGAAATGGAGTTTGACCCTCTCCTGAGGAAGGACTCCTGAAGTGACCCGTGGCCATCACACTTGATACACACGCTCACAAGTGCACTCATATATACACTTCGGCACGCACACACACAGTTGGATGGAAACTCTACTGTTTCCTGTTTGTGAGGTTTTGGATGTCAGGGCCTCCACAGTGATGTGAGCCAGCTCCTACAGGTGTTGCCCCCAGCCCCCACGCTCACCCTTACTGAGTCTGTTCCTGGGTGGAATCCCAGCCAGCACAGCCACCCAAGAGGATTTGTGTGGAACGCAGTGAATGTAACGGACTGCTCTGGATGTCAGTCCAGAACTGGAAGGTGTCTGTGACAGAGTTAGGAAGAAATACTAGTCAAGTAGGCTTCTCATCTGACCGGGAGACAGGGGTTAGCATTGCTAAGCCACCCCAAACCCCTTTTTAAAGACATCTGAGCCAGGTGTGGTGGTGCACGCCTATAATGCCAGCGGGCTCAGTGTACTTAGCAAGGTGCCAGGATGTGGTTCAGTTGTGAGGAGGGCACATTACTCTTGCACCTGAGATCATTTCATGAAAGGCGAGTGACTCACAACTGCCCATAACTCTAGCTTCAGGCAGATCCATTGCCTCTGGTCTCTGTGAGCCTCTGCACACACAAGCACACACACACACACTTTTAGATAACAATATTAAAAATCACCTGTGCTCCTGTTTCAAGAAGCTACTGGTGATGGTATTGATGACCGTTACATATCAGCCAGGGGCTGCACTGCCACCCTGGGCAACTTTGTCAAGGCCATCTTTGATGCCATCTCTAAGACCTACAGCTACCTACCCCCAACCTCTGGAAAGAGATTGTCATCAAGTCTCCTTATCGGGAATTCACTGGCCATCTTACGTAAACCTGCACCAGAGTGTCTGTTCAGAGGACCCAGGCTCCAGCTGTGACTACCACTTACGGGTTTTATCCAAGAAAAATTAACTAAAGTCTGTGGTAGGACATTTGTTTATGCTCTGGAACGTTTGCTTAGCGATGTTGCTTTTGTTTATGCTGCATTTGTTTAACTGTGAAGATGCCTGTCTAAAACACCTGATGGTCTAATAGAGATTTGAATGGCCAATAGCGAGGCAGGAGACAGGATAGGCTGGGCTGGCAGGCAGAGAGAATAAATAGAAGGAGAAAAGGAGAGAAGGAAGAGCAAGAGAACAAGGAGAGGATGACTCTAGGGGCCAGCCACCCAGTCAGTCATGGAGGAAGAGTGAAAGTAAGATTATAGAAGTAAGAAATGGAAAAAACCCAGAGGCAAAAGGTAGATGGGATAATTTAAGAAAAGCTGGCTAGAAACAAGCCAAACTAAGGCCGGGCATTTATACGAAAGAATAAGATGCCAGGCGATGGTGGCATGTGCTTTAATCCCAGTACTCAGGAGGCAGAGACAGAGGGATCTCTGTGAGTTCGAGGCCAGCCTGGTCTACAGAGCAAATTCCAGGACAGGCTTAAAAGCTACAGAGAAACCCTGTCTTGACACACACACACCAACAACAAAAGAAAAAAAAAACCCACTAAGACTCCGTGTGAGATTTATTTGGAAGCCAGGTGTCCGGCCTCCCCCCAAAGCAAAACAACTAACGAGTAAAAAGAGTGAAAACCAACAACAGTAACAGAATTTTGTTTATAAAAACAGTATTTAAATATTCCCTAGCACTCTGGAGGCATAGGTAGGAGCATCTCTGTGAGTTCAAGGGCAACCTGATCTATATAGTGAGTTCATGTTATCCAGGACTACATACTGAGATCCTGTCTCCAATAAAATAAAAAACTCATCTGTGCAAGATCCATTTAGAGCTGGGTTCTTCAGACTCCACACTGCTGGTCTTTAAGCAGATTGTTTTTTGTTTTTTTTTTTTTTTATCATGGGCTGTCCTTTGTGCTGTGGGGCATTCAGCAGGCTCCCTGAGCTCCACCCATGCAGTGCCCTTAGCTTCCTCCCATCTCCAGTGTGATGAAAATATAAAAAGTCTCACACCTCAAACATGACAGGCGTGGCTGAGGGACAGAACTGCCCCTGTAGAGAACTGTTTCTGACTGGGAGGACTGGCCCTGTGTCCCTTGCGTTTGTGTGGCTAAGGTGGACCTGCCTCCCTGTGCTTGTACAGTTAAAGATTAACCAGAATTCTCGATGTCACTAGACATTGGGGTTGCCATGCCTAAGAGCGGGCGTGTGCTGAACTAGTTAAAGGTTTGTTATCTGGATATGCTGAGGGCATTTAATGGTTCCAGTGTGAACATACACTTTTTGTCATATAAATCTGGACCTGCAGCACCCAAGCTCATACCACAAAATGCTTGTAGCTCGAGCTTGCAAACAAGCTGTTAGTGCCACGCGGGACATCACGGGAGACCTGATAAGTCTGTGAGTTGTTGTAAGGTGGATGAAAACTCCCACCAAGCAGACTCGCCTTCTCAGGGGGAGAGTAAATTTTGTATACAATTTGTGTGCTGCTAGGGACCAAACCCAGGGCTTTGTGCAGACTAGGCAAGGGCTCTTCCACCAAGCTCTACCCCCAGGCATCAGCTTCTAAGCACACTTCTTAAGGCTGCTGTAACAATGTACCCACAATGCAGTGGCTGAAAGCATTATGAATTG